TGAATAAGTACATTAAAGAAAACCGATCAGCGAAACGAACACAGAAACGGTTCGCAATTATTTAGTCTATAATACTCCTGATTGTTGTCCAGTCATTCCTTAAAAAAATCCATTGTTATATCCGCGAGCAGTAGACATTTGATTAAAGCACTTTTTATGATGTACTTTTCGCTACGTTCGTTTGATTTCTGAAAGCAAATCTATTCAAAAATCTATTCAAGATGGCGCTAGCGTAGCAATGTTTTACTTTGACGTCAGAGACATCCTCCATCTTTAGTCTCCCCGTGACCACGGCTGCTGCAAAGCATCCGAAACGTCGGGCCGAAGTTAAAAATCTTTTTCAAATAAGTTTAACTAATATATCGCGTTTTAAACCGTTAAAGTGTTTTATTTAAATGTGTACAACTCGCGTAAACTATAGACAGTATTTAAATCTATTCAAATAAAATAACACTGTTAATAATAATAAAAGTGTGCGTTGGCCGGGAATCGAACCCGGATCAACTGCTTGGAAGGCAACTATGCTGACCATTACACCACCAACGCTGCAAGCATACTATGTAAATCGTAAAACGGACTTACGAGAAAACATGTACAGCAATTAAATTTGTTTGTGCAGTTGTTCTGTTTAACTTTATAGAAAAATCCATGAGCAACTAGAAAACAACTTAACATTATTTTATAAAACGAACAATAATACTTGCCATTGTCTACTATAATCACAGACTATATTAAGAACGTAGTCTTTTCTGTATCATTAATTACTTCGTCCCATTTGAGTACCCTCTACAACATAAAAATTATTAAAGAAGCAAGATAAAACAGTCAGGAAATAATTATTTCATTTTTAACGTTCCTATATTGCCATAAGAATTATTAGCAATTTTACATCTGCAATATTTGCAACTTACGTCCATAAGTTACGGTATGTTGGGAAAATATAGGGATATGTACTAGATAATTAAAAATTACGTGTGATAATTTACCTACCTGCCTACCATCCATCGTCTGAAATGCCAAACTCATGACGTCAGTCCGCTAATAAGTACTGTTTCCATCTCTCATTTAAAGCAGATGCACGATCAAGCACTTGTTTATCCAAATGCGTATTCTTTACCACGATAAATCGCATCCTGGACCAAATTGATGATTCAAATCCATACATCATACTTGACCGAATCACATCGGGATATGCGAAATGTTATATAATTGATAACTTTAGGTTCGCGCGGATATAGAACCTAATTTTCATCAGTTCACGAATATAAGCCATTGCGCTGCGACATAAGGTTGAAATTTGAGTGCAGTAAGAACGCAGGGGTCCCAAATTTGGCCCACTTTCGCCAGCCATCCGTTTGAAATGGGACCGATCATTATTTGTTTAATGCGATTTTCGGCACTAGAAGCGGTGTGTACAAAATTAATCAAGTCTCGAGATATATCTGAGGATACTTCGTTTGATATAGTTTTCACGACTAGGTACTACAATTATGAGAACTAAGTCAGTGTGACTGTGTCTGTGATTTGTGATTAACCTGTAAAATAAGTACCACAATGTGTCTATTTACGATTCTAGACATAGGTACTAAAAATAAAAATAAAGAAAATACGCTAAATGCAAAAACTAAGTTTGAAGTGATTAACTCGCCCAATAATTATTTATCGAGTTAAAACAAATCTCTTGTCCTAGTATACCGCAAGTTTTTTACCAGCACAACATCCTCGTTATAAATGAAATCGACATTGAGATTTATCGTCAGATCGTTCCCACCGCTGCACCCTGTTATTGCATATTTGGAGGCCGGCAAATATGGGTCAGGTTAGTAATGGTGGTTTAATTAATAATACTGCTTGTACTATTTCTTATTTTCTTTCACCGATTATCAAATTGCTAACTATTATTTTATAGTATCTTAACTGCACTCATCCGTAAAGATGTATAAAAGATTAATTCATGGGTTGCAAGAAAAGTACAGCTATATTGCCAATATATTTGCCTTTGTCGCGATCATTAAACCTACAGACAATTTTAATTTTGAAATATAATCTTAACTGCCAATAACTATAAAATCATTTCTTTTTTGACACCTAACTTATTGGTATTTTTATATAGATAGAATTACCGTAGTCAAACATATTTTTTAAAATCGGTGTAAAGATTCATGTCTAAATCTAATTTTGTAAATTGCTACATTTAGGCCATTTTACGCGGATTCTCCTGTCAGAGTGAAAGCAGGCACCTGGTCACCCTAGCTATAATATCCACGAATTAGTGGAACACCTGGCGCGTGCCTTTTATTTGCGTTTACCCTTTTTTAATCCGATGCGAGTTTATTTAGGACCGTTTTATCCCGTATGGGTACTAAATATTTATTTAAGATTATAATATTTTATTTTATGTTTGCTTCAAACATTCTTTTCAATCTCGCTTATCATAAAAATGTGACACTTTTGTTGGATTATGACGCAAAAACAATTGAAAGAAATGTGATGGGGTGTGTGGACGAATTCTACTTTAATTCCTTCTGACGCAGTCTGCTCGTCAGAATGTTTTTAATTGATTAGTTTTCGTTTTTTTTACTATAAATAAAACATGTAAATTATTATAATTAGACTAATCGAATCGATTACAACTATAAGAATTAGGTAGGTAGGTACATCATTTATAGCAAAAATCAAACTTCCTTAAAAACCCTTTTTTCTACATAGTCAGCTCGCATTAAAAAAGTGTGCGTTGGCCGGGAATCGAACCCGGATCAACTGCTTGGAAGGCAACTATGCTGACCATTACACCACCAACGCATGTTCTAATTGTAGTAATACTTAAATTATTATATCAAAAGTAAATAAGTACTCAGCTGAAAAAAATCTTGAATTTACAGTTTTACGCAGTATATACCTTTGTCTTAAAATATTATTTTCTTTATTGTTATGAAACATGTATTTTTTTACAGATTTCTTAAGAAATATAAATCATAATATTTGGTTATAATTACAACGAACATGTGTTAAATAAATTTTGTCTGCATTTGCGCATGAGTATTTTATTTGAAGCGATATTTACAGTACCGTATCATTATTCATTTCTTGCTTTGCGATGTCTTAAGGATATTTTTACACGCCTGCTTTGATTTATATGACCTGATTATTAGGTATAATTGTACACAATTTACAGATACGAAATAATCCCAAAATTACAAGTCTAGAGTATATATAAGATCTAGGTTGCTAGAATAACCTAGAACTTATTTGAATAGGAACATGAAGAAAATAGAGATTTTAAACCTGATAATAATTTTCCGCATGCATGAATAAACCATGTTTTAGATAAATGTTTCTTTAACATTTCGTTTTCTAATCTATAGGCCAACTATATTGTAGCGGATCAGTAAAGCAGCTGCATTTAAGAAATAACGAATGAATACCTAATTATTTGAAAACCAAAAAAATACTTCAAAGGTGTTCAGTTACTCGGCAAGTGTCAAATGTCAAAGGCAATCCCAACTTGTTTTTCTTCTTAAGTGGATGTATAAAAATGTTTCTTTGTAAGATAAGTAACACCTTTTTACACTTAATAACGTGCATTCTTGTGAACGTTGTTCGATTCAAGACAAATTATGGGTGTGTGGTTTTATATAATTGTCTGTATAATTTGGATCGTTGGTCTGAAGATTCAGATTCATATTAATACAGATGTATCTGAAAATTAATTGATACATTTCCTGCCCACCATTAATGTACAGATAAAGAAGCCGTAAAGCGTATGTAAGTAAGAAGTAGGTCTCGTATTTTTTTCTTATCATAAACGATTATAATCCTTTTATATGTAATTAAAAAATATTCCCTAACTTAGTTGGTCTGGCAGTTGCTAAAGCAATGTGTGTAATTTTCTATATGTAAACAAGTTTAATCTTCAAAGTATATTAAATCGATACTTTAATTAAAATAAACAAGCTGTTTTAAATTACAGTACTACACGATGTCAAATCATATAATACACGCTATTCACGCCTTTCTTTACCAACTATTTCGATTAACTAACCAGACTGGACTGGACTTAAAATTGCTTAAACAATACGCACACAATTATCGGACTTATTTTTATTTAAATAAAGTGCTTATTTACATAAACTCGGTCATGGTAGCGAAAGATGCGTTTTGCGATATCTGAATGCAATTGGATTGTAATCTTTAAGTACAGTCAAGATAACAAGTGTTAAGTGATAACTCTTATATTCAATTTATTAAAATAATTTCTTTAAGAAAGGTGAACTTAAATTTATAGTTATATTTTAAGTTCTGTTTACCATGTCCTACCTTCAGAATTTTCTTTACGCTTAGATAAATTCTTATTCATTTTAAGTTGTCTTTGTCTTGTATAATATTATGTTATTCTGTGTGTATTTTAAGGCGACTGTACATTACGAATGTTATAATATCATTATTATTGAGATAATTATTCATTCGTGAGCACCAAGCTCTTCCCTTATCAATCGAATCAGATCGTAATGATTTTGAAAGACGTTAATCTTTACACTGCGGGAAATAAAGACTAGTTTTGCATGTCACTCAAACCTCGTTACCAATGAAATATTATGGTGCACCACGCCTCATAGTTAGCGATACGAGATAAAGGAATCATAATCAATGTCTTTATTTCTGTATTTCGATTAGCTTTCGGATGTGGAAAAAAACTTTATACAGTTACGACGTTTAACCATAAAGTAAAAAAAATAAAATGAACGGACGCAAAATCTATAATGTTATATAAATACTGAAGTTTATCTGTGCTTAAACGTGCTCAAAATCCAATAGTGATTAAATTATTATATTTTATAAAATTGCGATATTTCTTTTTTATATGGGCCGCATAATTCTTGAAGTCTTCCCAAATAAATAGGATAGATAAATAACAACACTGCGCTATACTAAATGAGAGTAAATAAATTTTGCATGTTTAGCGCATTCCATATAACAACACTGCAGCTTTCAATACGAAATCACTTCTCCTCTGTACTCGAGTCATCTATAGAGGATGATAAAGATTCCGTTGCGTTGTAGGCCCAAGCCTCGACTTGAATTTTGTAAACATGCTGGAAACCCCGTACTGGTATCCTTACCTTAAATAAACAAAAACATTTATTAAGAAGTAAATAAAGTTTACACCTCGCCCTTTAGATCCTATAACAAAGTCATGTACAAACGAAAGTTATTATATACAACTTGGACGAAGATTTTAACTGTATTATTAATAACTTTGCCTTAACTTTTTCACGGGCGTTTTTTTTTCATTTGTTCAGACATTTGTTAAATTGTTAAACTGTATATACTCTATACTTTGTTCTTATGAAGTAATTCATTAATAGGTATTCACATTCACTTATTTTACATTTTAGATACCTTAATTTCAGGCGAGTCCAATTGCCATACTTTTGGCTGGCCCAGCCGATAGGGCATTCCCACTTTTACGCATATTATCATAGTATCGTGGGCAGCATCTATCTGCAATATATTCAATAAAGAGAGACTATTATAGAAGACTATATATAGAAGTCCTGAATTAATATTAGGTGGGAAATATAATCAATACTTTGGGAAAATCTTCACATTGTTCGTCGTTCGTATATTATTGGGAATGTCGAAACATCTTCTCATGAATGTTCCTTGAAGTCGAATGGTAAACAAATAAATTCTATTACTTATTATTTTAATGCACTATACCTCAAGATAGTACGCCAAATATGTGACAGTCGTTGGTTTTATTTGAAAGATTTCATGGTAGAACCTGAATATATCGTCAGCGGCTTCTCCTCTGTCGTAGCATCTTAACCCACCCATCCACCAGTGTCCCACCCAAGTGTGGGCGATCAGATCGTAAATCGATGTTCGGGGCATTACATAACCTTAAGCGAAACAGCAAAAGATTAATATGTACCTACTTATAGAAGTGCATTTTGAATAATGAACTTTGTTACAAAACGCTGATTTAAAAATAAGTAATTCTATTTGTTGATTCAAATAAGTATATAGTGTTTTGAATATTGTGCTGCCTTTTTTCATATGTCAGTAATTAACTTATTGATTTATCTTAAAAGAAAATAAAACCGCAGTAATAAAACAATAGATTCGTTTGAAGGTAATAAATTTAGATCGGACTTATTCACCAAAAGGGTCATCCTTGGCAAAAGCGCCAACCGCTTTCCCAGTAATGGCCGCAGTTATCCAGGGAACATAAGGGTGTATGAGTGTGTGAATTGGCGGCGGAGGAGGCCGGCGTACACGCAAGGGATCTTGACATGGTGATCCGCCTGTATAATTGTATTGTTGGAAGGTTTAATATTTTTCACATGTTATTGCACCTGATGACATTATATTATAATTCAAACATCTATTTAGATTGATTGATCAATTATCTGTGCTGCTGGTACCGGAGGCGGTAGCTCGGTAGCAGCGTGGAACGTGCGGTCTGTGAATGCCGGTTCACATGTTACAAGCGTTAAGTTTTGTATCTTTATGTTTACGTGTAACTAGTTTAAAAAATAAAATTGTCTGTACCACTCATTTACATTTTAGGGAACGCTTAAAATACCTTCTTTAAACTAAATAGCGCAGTAAACTTGAACTAAATAAATACATAAATAGATAACGGTTACGTACCTTGTGAAATTGCAACAATGGACCAATGTCCAGTATGCTCGTGGATGAAGACGGGTGAACCAGACTGGTACCCACAGCCCGTGGTGCACGCCACGCGGTCCTTTGGTAACTTCGTCACGTTCTGTCCCAGACAATATAAGATGTTCCTACTAAATTTTGCATCACATATTACAAATTAATTCATACGTAGTAACAGACATCCATTAAAACAATCCTTATTAAATTTGTATTAATCCCGTCACCTGTTATTTGTTGATGAATGTAAAAATGTACGATAATCTTTCACTCCTAAATAGATGATCGCACTTTGGAATAAGGTGTTTGTTAGGATTTTTTTCTGCATTTAACCACACGGTCCATCTTGTATACAGCAAGCAGAAAATATACTCACCCCCAACGTAGGAAGTGCATCGTACAAATAACACAGCTCTCGAGGCAGTAGTTTTACTTTTTGTATATCTTTCTCTTCTTCTATGAAATCCCTTGGAACATCTACAACAACAAATAGCAAAGTATTTAAATAAAACATTTCAAAGTGTTTTATTTAAATGTGTACTACTCGCGTAGATTACAGACACTCTTTAAATACCAAAAACACGTGTGTAGTGTTTAATAGACCGATCCTAAAAGCCTAACAGGTTCTTTCTATTGGCTTTCTCGTAGTTTGGTAGATTAATAGTTGGTTATTATTTAAATCTTACCACTAGAAAAATCGATGTGTAACAAACTTTCTGTTGTCTGTTTTCCAGCTTTCGTTATTGCAAAATTCTTGAACGGAAGGCAGGCAGGCACCATGTACTCTATTAAATATAAAAACAAATATAATGCAAAAGCAATGCCAACGTTTGTATGGATCGACTACTATCTTAAGCCCAAACTAATACTACTTATAAAAGTTATGTGTTAAAGTAGCTTAATTTAATAATACTGTAACGATCAGTTTTGTATTCATAAGCAGTTTCGCAATAACCCGTCTGTAGCTCATCCAGGGCAAAGATAGATAAACTAACCCTTTAGAAAAATAGATTAGCTTACGGACTCATTTTAATGTCTGCATTACGAATGAAGTACACCCACGCGATTTTATCGGAGTGATGAGTTTGAGCAGCGCTATGCTGTTTCTGACGTTGAAATGCTTGTACTCGGGGTGCAGCAGCACATCTGCAATAGGCATCAACAAAACAGCCGGTTCACACTCTCTTCCCTGGGCCAGTTCCTCCAATGACGTCTTGCATTCCATCTCGTCACGCTCGTAGTCACCAAAAACTATGTTGCCCCTATTGATTAAGTTTTTGGTTTACGGAACTTAATTAAAATTTCGTATAAGCAATTAGTGAAATAATACACAACATTTTATAGGCTTTCGTAGCCATTTTGAAAAGCTACTGGAATTCACATCAAAGAAATCGAAATCATCAGGAGACGTGCGTCCCTCAACTAAGCAAAATCTTCCAAGTAAAACGTTAAGAACGATTTTTAAATATTAAGATTACGGTCTTTCTAAAAAACAACAAGATAGTGTCTGAAATGAGAAGCGATTTTCTTAAACAAAACTTATTTTTAAGACTGGTCTTTATTCTTGCTTAGCTCATATGAATACCTTACTGTCTCTAATTATATTATAGATATATTACATTTAAACAAAACCCTGAAGATTTTTTTCTTTACAAATTATGTATTTTAAATACCGCCCCCCGTGACTACGGCTGCTGCATCCGAAACGCCGGGCCGGGGGTAAAATATTTTTTGACGCTATGCAGCGGCCGTGGTCACGTTTTAAACCGTTAAAAGTGTTTTATTTAAATGTGTACTACTCGTATGCGTATACTACAGTTAGTATTTACTTAAACCAACCACGATCACCTATATTGGAATCGTTATATTACATTTTATGTAATTAGTTGTTAGTTAGTCATCTTCTAATGAACTCACAAGGCGTAGCCCTCCGGTATGAGCGCCGCGTCGACGGCCGTGGACAGAACAAATTGTCGGCTAATTAGGACCACTCTTGGTACACGGAAGTAGTGAGGGGTCCCGTTCTTCACTGAAACCGGGGAAAGTTCGTTACTCGGCATTTCGATAGTTTGTTTGGCAATTAGCACTTTGGCGATTCATTTGCATTTCAATCACGGTCCTAAATCCTAATGCAATAATTGTACGTGCCTATTTAATTAATAGTAATCTTAGACCTTTTAGACCTCTTAGTCTGGTTTATTTTATGTTTTTGAAATATATTATTATGTTATCTTTACTCTGAATAATTGATTTAATTATACAATGAAAAAACAAGCAAGACATATTCTACAACAGAGCGAAAATTGCAAATTCATCGCTAGCAAGCAATTTCTTCCAGGCAACCCAAATTGCGAAAGGATTTTTAGAGAAAATGAAATGAAACGAAACTTATAAACATAACATCTTAAGCGTATAGCCAGAGTTATTTTTAAGTTAAAGTTGACTTGCTACTTATGGCTTAAAGTGAAATCCAGTTTCCCCTCGTGTGGTCCGTTCTTTAACAGGCAAGAAGTTGATGAGGCTTCTTCTGTGCCCTGCCCACCCGGAACAATTTTTGTTCGGATTCGAACCCAGGACCGTCGTGCTTAACGTAATGCTAGGCAATACGTTTAACCATTTGGCTACAGAGGCGAGCAAAACTTTAGACGTAGTACCAATAAATTGCTTAATGATTACCGTGAATATATTGCAAAGCGCCGAGCCAGGTGAATTGTAATTCACCCAGGGGACCTTCTTCTGGTTCGAATGCTGGGTCATCGTGGCAGTCGAAGAACTGACAGACGACCACCGCTACAACTGAACAATTATTATGCTTAAATAACAAAATAATTCCGCGTTAATACTGAAAACGTTTTGTGTATAGCTTTAAAAGTGAAGGGTATGTTTTGAACATTAAACACAACAGATTGAAACCAATATGTAATAATATGATGGAATGATTCGAAAATGTAACTGAAATGCGACCCGACGCTTTGGGGGCTTTTCAGCAGACGTTACCCCACAATATATCGCGTCAATGGTCCTAAAATACATAATTCAACGTAATTATGCTATTTTTAATAATACTTACGTGCAACTCCTGGAATTAGCCTTCTCCACATCTCACAATTATCTCAGTTCGCGTAGATACACAGACTGGACGGTTTGTTTGTGTTTGTTATGCTGTTATTTACAAACATGTATAGTTGATTGGCATTACTAACATTTTAAGTTATTAGGATGTTATTATGAAAAAAAAAAGTTCCGATCGGATTCTGGTATCGATCAAACTTCCGTTATAGGAGGTGAAATACTCAAGCCAGACAACGTGAGCCGGAGAGACTGGATGCCTATTCCATCTTATATATCAAAATTTTCCAGACGAACTGTAACATGATTCTGAAAGTCATTATTGATTTTGAAATATTTTTTCCCGGTAAGAATCGAACCCGTGCCTTGTTGATTGTCAAATACCGGCTGTGTCAGCGACTTCGGACGCGAGGAATGTTATTTGAGGCATCGAAATCCATTTTTCGGACCCCTTTATCTTTATAAATAATAATAATCCTAAAAAATAGATATATTTTAGATAATTTAAAGAGAAATCATTCTTTCATACTTATTTTTTAGATATTTAGAACCGATCTTGCAGCGTACGCATCGGGTACCCACAGAGTTGAAATTTGTTGTTTGTTTTTTTCTAATTTCCTGCGGTTTCTTCCCTCCTATTAGTCACAGTTCGATGTTGTATATCCTATAACCTTCCTCGATAAATACTCTAACCAACACAAAAAGATTTTTTTAATTCGAACCAGTAGTTCCAGAGATTAGTATAGATACATTGCTATTATTATACAAACAAACCGTTTAGCCGCCTAGGTCGTCTTTTAAATCCATTCGGGTTAACAGTAGGGAACTAAGATTTATAACCTTACGTCCATATCTAAGGTTATTAATCTTAACTATGCCTTATGCAGGGTGGCAGATGACAATGTAACACTTTTTTGACCTTAAGTGGCTTTTAAGGACAAGGTAATTAGTTTAATATTACTTATTACATTACATTATATGTACACAACACTGAAACCAACACCTTTTAAATTATACATAAGTTATCACAAATCCTATTTCCTGTTACCTGAGTGCTACTATATTTATAACGGTATTTCTAAATTCATAGTCCGACTGTGTTTGATTCGATTTCCGCTCGCCCAACATTTGCTGAGTAGCTATTATTTAGATTTAAGGACCCTGTATTCTCATTAAAATACCTTTAGGCGCCACATAAACACTAGGTCCACTAAAATCGGAGGTGTCTTTTCGATTTGCTTCACTTACTTTACAATAAAAGCTAAATACAAGCTAACCAATTTTTTAAATTAGACACTTATTACTTAGGAGAGTATTTTTACGTCTTGTAATTCTGTCAATTTTTGTTGTATTTTTCTTCTCATCTTTGGCTCTTCGAGGTGCATAGTTCCAAACTGTTTTGATTTTTACTTTGAATAATCAGCTGCGCAAACGGACTATTGTTTTTTTTATAATTATAATAGATATGAGCACCTTCTAATATAATGTAGCCTATGTTTTATTATTGTGAAGCACGCGACAAGTTCGCAAATTGCCGACATCCTCCCAGCTCTGCATCACAATGCATCGATAATAGCACATTGGAGACGTGCATTGGTGTCAGCATACCACATACATTATGGATTAGGGCAAGACTAAACATCAATTAGGCCATTATCATAATGTGAAGATCGACAGTCACTAGGCGCTAAAAAGTGAAATTAATTTTGAAAAAGGAATAAGCCACGACGGGGCATCGAATCTGTCGCCGTCGGAGCTCATCATCATCCATCAAGATAACATGTGTTGGTAACAGATTAATAGGGGCTCCGTATCGCAGTTATTCAGTACAATTAGTTTGAGCATGCCTTCGAGTTATTTACATAGATTTGAATAATTCTCTCCTTTCATATATAGAGGCTTATCGCTAATTCATTTTAGTTTTTTGCTGCATATTGCAAAATGCATAAAGTGGTGATATTTGCTGGGATTATTGCTTCCTTTGGTAATATCTGTATACTTTCACAGTTCTTTAGAGGCCCCTGATTTATTTTATTTTATATTAAAAATGTATTATGAACTATATCGCGTTTGCAGGTCGATAATTAGAAAATTAGTATAATTCATTCTGAACAAGAAAATAAAATGTTACCTTCTTCTAATTAGGTATACACATGTGTTTACCGTTTGTTTAATAGTGATTTGCAGTGTTTGACGTATCAATTTTTAAATAGTGGTATTAAATTTCAGACCTCGAAAAAATAGTGAAAATGTGGTTGTGAATAGTCTGTTGTGGCACAACCTAGCCAAATTTATTTTTGGGTATCCCGATATGTTCTCAGATTTATGTATTATGTTTAAATTACAGATTCGTTATTTGGTTTATTTTTTTCATGTCAGGATGGCCGAGCGGTCTAAGGCGCTGCGTTCAGGTCGCAGTCCACTTCTGTGGGCGTGGGTTCGAATCCCACTTCTGACAAGTCTTTATTTTGATAAACATTTCTTTTGCCGTTAATAATTTTGAATCTGTGTATAAGGGTAAAATCATTAATGATTTTAATGGAACCACTTTTATGGACATGCTTATATTAAATATATGTAGCGCAAGGTGAGCTCTTCTCATCCGACGACGCTCGCGATGACTGGGAGAGGATCGTAGGTGGAACCAAAGCTGCTAATGGTTCTGTCCCTTATCAAGTCTCGCTCCGCATTTGGGGAGTACGTCATTTCTGCGGAGCCTCTATAATCACACCGAGAGTAATTTTGACCGCTGCCCATTGCGTTGACAGGTGAGGTAATGTGTGTTAAGAAGAAACATTACATAGCGAAAAACTATAACTATGACAATTATGATTATTTTTTACTAGTACACGTTAGGTTAAGTAAGGTTATGAATTAGGACCATGGAAGTGTACTTTTTTTATCATGAAAGTTAAATAAGTTATTGTGTCTTGCAATTTTAAAATAAAAAGCCCCTAGCTGAGATATATTAGCAATAAACCATAAAAAGCCTAAATCGTTTAAACCTAAACCTGTTTAAAAATAACTCAAAGGATTTACAAATTAATCAAATCTTCACGATATTTAACCTCCCAAAATATTCAGCCAAAATATATTTTTTTAATATGAGCTAAGTTTCTTATTTCCAGACTAAAACCCCAATACTTCCAAGCGATCGTTGGCACAAATCAACTACGAGCTGGCGGCAAAGCCTACACAGTTCGTAAAGTGGTTCAACATGAAAAGTACGACGATGACCTGATTGTGAATGACATAGCTATCGTGTTCACTGACAAAGAGATAGAATTCAGTAGCACGGTGGATGCAGTAGAACTCAACGATGAACCGGTGGAAAAAGACGAAGAGCTGCTGCTGACGGGGTGGGGGACTACCTCTGTAAGTCACAAATGATTTGAATGGTCAAGTAAGACCAGTAAGCCGTCACATGTTATAAAATGAAAATATATCTTTTGTTTGTGTAAATGTATGAATAAATGCTTAGACGGTTTAAAATGTTCCATTCGTAAAAGGTGTTTTAAATAGTTTGTTTGAATAAATTCGTGAACTTTTCAGTACCCCGGTCATCTCCCTAACGATCTCATGCAACTAGAATTGAAAGCGGTCACTTATGACGACTGCAAAGAAGCCCACAAAACTGTGAACGCTGTCTTCACTTCGCAAATATGTGCCCTCACTAAAGCTGGCGAAGGTGCCTGTCACGTAAGAAATATAATTCAAAATTTAATTTATACAGTGTAGGTAATTTTTTAACGTGAATTAAATTAAAATGCATAACTTTTAGGCTCGTAAGCCTAGAACGAAATATTTTTTTTTATAGAACGATAAGTTTTAAATCAAAAAAAGTCTCCAAGAAACAACTAATCCAGTATTTTTTTTATCAAACATTTACACTGAAGACCTTCAAGACCTTTTTAAATGAGTCATACATTTAGTGCAGTTCAAAGTTTATTGTCATAGGGTGATTCTGGTGGACCATTAGTTAGAGAAGGACGTCAAGTAGGCGTTGTCTCTTGGGGAATCCCATGTGCTAGAGGAAAACCAGATGTTTATACAAAGGTACGTCTGTCATTTAGCTAAAATAATTTTATTGCAAAATTAGATAAATAGTTAAGTCATACAATTTCTATTTTTTCAGGTCGAAGCCTACATGGGCTGGATAGAGAAGACATTAATAGACGATGACGAAGATCATTGGATGTACATACGAAGGAGAAAAAGCAACAGACATTAGGTTTATTACGAATACGACATAGACTAAAATTTAATAAGAAGCGATTAAATAATAATCTTATTATATTCTTTAAAAACTGTATGTTTTTATTTATGAAATGAAACGAAACATTTTTCGTAGACTGAATTTATGTTATATATTACTATGTTATTTAGAATGCATTCGTTCTCTGTAATGGACCTATTGCTTTAAAAGGGAGAAGATAGATAACAACTGCAAAGAAATGATAGAACAATTCCGTCTCCTCATTTATTTAGAAATTAGACTAATATCACAGAGATCAGTGATTATCAGACATGTTCGATCCTTTAAGAACATATCTTAACTGCTCGAACTTAAGATAATTAATGATCATTTATTAAGACACCTTTACAAATAAGTTACTCAGTCTCTCATACAATATATTATAAATAACAATAGACATAACCTTTCGTTTTAACATTTTTTTTGTTTGACATGGTTTAACGCTTATGTATTCCATTTGAAGCATAAAACCATGAAACAAATACGATATAATTTAACATACCTTTAATAAACATATGTATAAATAATGGTTTGTATTTTATAAAAGATACCATTATTTATAAAGGGCATCCTTTTATATATTTTCTTTATCACAATAGCTTTGTACGTGTACACTTACGATCTAAAACAATATCTGTATGCAAATACTCGACATTCCAATTTTCAATATCTTACATCATTTCCAAAATATAAATCGATACAATAAATATGACTACTCTCAATTTGATCCATATATAATCAAAAAATTCTTGAACGTTATCGACTAAAATAAAGTCTACCATACCTACTGAAACATCGGTAGAATTCTGGAAAATGGTAGACACGGTGTCTTTTGAGTAATCTCTACCGAATATACTGAATTCTAACAAATCATCGCGATTATTGACTTGCAATTTTATTTCATTTTGTTTCAATACACTTCTCTGATAGAAATTTAAGCCCTCAATAGCCGTTTGTGAGGTTGTGCGGAGTACTGGAAATTGTGCGGCGTTCTCGTTACTGAAGTTTCCGGAAATTGACAGTTTCTCGAAAACGATGTTTGTGTTGTTTTCAGAACTGTCAAAACGTTTTTGTGATAATAATTAGTACGAAAGTGAAACCGATATTTTATTTCTATATACTGTGATTAATATATCGAATGGAGAACTTGAATATGCTCAATTTTGGTGAAGTAGGTACGTCTTTTACGGCAAAATTTTAAAATTGAGAAATAACTCCTTGATTATTGTGTATAACTTTTTTGCCAAATAAAAAAAACATTGAATTTCATAATAAATTTCTTTGTGGACATCAACATAAACATACTATGAAGAACATAAGATAAGAAATGAAGAACATCAAACGTACACTGCATAATCATGAACAGGCGATGGGAAACAGTAATAACAATAAATAAAAAAACTCACAAGGACGTAGAAATTGAACAAATTTCAGTGCCAATGGCACGATCCCCGAAGCTCATCACGCCAGCGTGAGCTTTTAGTGTATATGTGGTGCCAGGTCTTCTTGGAACTGAAATATAGATAGGAGAAGATTTTAATACACGTACGAGATCATATTATGATGGCATATAGTTTTCAAACTATTTTATTATAAAAATAAACACATAACACACGTTGTATTAAAATGTATATTCGCTTTAGTTTTCTATTATTATTACCATTGACCCTAAATGATATTGTCACATGTAAAGAAAACATTTTAAGAATTTGGTCATTACCTGCGTCTTGTGTCTTTACATGAAAGTGACAGCAGAAACCTTTCTGGCACACTGTGTCTTGATATCCTTGCGCACTTCGTTTCAAATCTAAAACCTTACTGCTGTACTGGTTCAAATCTCCTAAGATGGTGGACGTTGAGGTACTAAGTAATTGTGATTGTTCTGGAAGCATGTAAAGATTACGTGAGCATACAGATTTATTCATTTGAATGATGATATTGAATAGCTCTCGTACGTACCGTTACCCGTTTTACTCAATTCGCCTACAATTATATTTTCACGGTTTTTTGTTTCAGCGCCATAAATGTTGGAAGTAGAAATCACATTGGATTTGGTACTAAACGCCCAATAGGACACAAAATGTGAAGCTGAAAGGTGAAAATTTCAAGTTAATTAAAAGGGTTTACGTGGAAATGCTTCAGTCATACATATCAATAGTATTGAATTTAGAATAGAATGATTTGCAACGCTATTAATATAACTTACGGGATAGACCTTTATCAAGGTGCGGCCAAGTACCCAGAATAATATAATTTTGTGAAGCAATGTCATGCACATTTTTGAGGAATATGTCTTCTTTCATCAATATTCCAAATGTAACTCCAAAGTCAGAGGTAAAGGTTGCGGTGTTGGAATAAGTTACATTGCAAGTAGCTTTTGTAAAGGGTTTTCTGTATCTGTAAATTGTAAAGTCAAAAATTTTCAATCAACTATAATAGACTGCTTAATTATTAATTAATATATTTTTAAAATAAAACACTTTAACGGTTTAAAACGCGATATATTAGTTAAACTTATTTGAAAATGATTTTTAACTTCGGGCCGACGTTTCGGATGCTTTGCAGCAGCCGTGGTCACGGGGACACGGGGTTAAAGTGTTTTATTTAAATGTGTACTACTCGCGTAAACTATAGACAGTATTTAACATATTTTTTCTTATTAAAGTCGAACAATCCATTACCATATTTAGAAGACAGTTGACGAAACTATTTCAAGCAGAGCAGAATTTAAAACTGGATTAGCTCTTTGCAGATACCTTTTATATAATTTATAATCAAAGCCGAACATTAGACCACTTAAGATTTTCCTTTGCTCTCTTTCATTTACTTCTTTCATTTTCATTTAATTTAATTAAATCTTTTTTTCGAACAGGACTTACACGGAAATAATTTCGCCGTTTCTATCAAACACCAAATTGCTTCTAACCAAGTCTTCTGCTTTATCACACCTGACCTTCTCGTACACATGTGCTACTACGTATATTTTAGCTTTTTTTACAGCGTTTGATATTGTTCTTGTAATCTGAAATCAGTTATAATGTTTCAAAATAATATTTGGATACACTCGGAAAGTATTTATATGAAATCACAACACTAATCATTTGCTGAAGAATTAAAAACACAAATATTGACTTTGTAATTAGTAAAAGTTTACCAAAGCTAATGGACAAATCACAGGAATTTTCTGATTACAGATGTTAAAACAATGGATTTGAATTATATGCACGTGGAGATGAGTTTCCTTATTTCGAAGATACGATTGCTAAATACGAACTACGGTCGATAAGAAACATCATTGTTCTATGTTATTTAATTATGTAGTAGGCATTAAGTAACATCCAACTACTTTGTTCTCAGTTACGATTTACCTTGAAACGTTTAAATTAACAATTTCACAGGTTCTTTGTCTGAGTTGCGAAAAATAGGAGCATAATATTTAGCACAGGACATACACATTAACATTGTCATTATGACTGCATTAACATTTACCTCATCGTAATTATCAATACAATTCTCGCAAAACTCCGAACTTGACTTGGACAGATCTTGCGTCGGTAAAATGAAAATATCTGCATCCTGTAATATACAAATTTTAATACTGTTATTACAGTAAGTATGAATATATCCTACTAATATTATAAATGTGAAAGTTTGTATGTTTGGATGGATGTTTGTTACGCTTTGACGCAAAAACTTCTAAATGGATTTCAATTAAACTTCCCAATTTATTAGCTTTTACATCAGAATAACACATAGACCATAATTTATAAAGATATTGTGTGAGCTGTCCAAAGTATGACATTAAGTGTCCAGTAACTAGGCAAAAACCTACCTTTCTGCGAGCTCTTCTGGCGTGCGCTGCCATAAACGTTAGTTACATATAATTATGCAATGTATGATAATATGATAGACATCATTTAGTTTAAATGCGCGATACTACGTAATCCTAATCCTAATCCTGCGTAGACGAAGTCGCGGGCACCAGCTAGTAATATATAATAGTGATCTAGAGACATGTCTGTACATTTTTCTTCCCGTTGTACCCGTTCATTTTGCCTAGTCTGTATACTATTAATGTATATCGATTACAAAAACAACAAAACTTTGATAAGAAGACACATGATAAGGCATGGTTTATAAGTGAAAAGTAACTTACGTATTTAGCAGCTTCTTCTATTAGAGACACATAATTTTTAGACGAGACATCTCCCTTCGTAATATCTACTACAGCTGCTTTGTAGACATTCTGAAATTAAATAAAGGTCATATCAAACAAACATAATTTTTTTTGGTAAAAAAAACCTATTATAAAAAATTAGGTTATGCTAGTTAATCTATCACTCGTTTATGGCTTAATAAAATTCGATAAAAAAGGATTTGAAGTAGCATACTTTGACTTGGAACATTTTTCGATATATGTTTACAACCGACTATAGGTATATATAGTATCAAACAAAAGTTAGATATCATATCAATGCAATGAACGACGTAAACAATGGGCATCATCGCATTATGCAACGAATTCGTCCATTGAACTGCCATGCATGGACCGCGTGACAGCAGCCATCTCTCTCTGCTATTGGAATTTTACTATAAGATGCTATTACCTATCTCTATCACTCTGTTGGGGAACCCTTAACCCAATTGAAGAAGGGACTTATGACTCGTCACGTAGCCCTCGACGGCATGCGCATTTGACATGAATCTTGTTGTGCCTAAGTTAGTTATCCCACAATGTAGGTAGTTTGTATAATTTCCTCTAAACAAAGGTCAAGTACGGTCACACTGACTAAATGACTAAACTTAAACAGTAATTTAAAATTTTCTTTCTCAACTAGCATACAATTTCGTAATTTAAAGTGAATAACAATAATTTTTGAATAGTAGGATGGGCTATATTAAATACTTATTACTAAGCACTGAAAAAAGGTCATTATAATAATATTTTTTGTTATTTAATTTAATTTCTAAATAAATATTTCTTCATGTGGAAATTAATATTAATAGATATTCTTTTATGTGCGTATTATCTTTATTGGCTATCATAAAAGTTAATTCGTGAACTTTTTCTGTCAATAAAAAATATTTTGCCGGAGGAGCTGTGTTCGTCTAGTGGTGCACCTGACTTTTGTTCCTTTGGTCGAACATTGAATAAAAAGGATAATTATTGGTACGGAAACTGGATTGTCCTAGAAGCTAAAAACTACGTTGTTATCTTCCAAAACGCATTTGGCCGGCGCGATTTAGATTAGAATCTATATACCTACCCTCTCAAGAGGCGCTAGTCTCAGGCGTGGGATTTGTTCAAGGGATTATTAATAGTAATAGGGAAACGGTAATTGTTTTCTTGGGAATTTATATAATTGTGTAAAAATAACAAAATGGCTGATTCACTCTCTTAAGAACACATGCTGTTTAAATGAATGACAATTTAACTTATAATCGAAAATTGCTTCGTATAAATTGCATAATATGAAAACATGTAGAAACTACTACTATAGTTAATAATCTTTCGTACTGAGTACGTCTGACAATGCATTGTTAGATAAAAAACAAGGGTAAGAAATCACGTTGTACAATAAGTACAGTTTATTATAATATCACGGTAGTTTAAAAAAATATAGCTTGTCATTGCAAACTCCTGTTTTAAGGGACTTAGTGATCATCAATTGGGTATAAATAAATTGTCCTTACCCGGCACAACACTAGGTGACAGAAAGCCAAGAACACCACAACCTTCATCAAAGCCATGTCGTAGTCGCGACCGTTCGGCGTGAGCGCAAAACGCGTGTGATTCGTCCGCGTCTACTTGCGCGACTTGACGTAGTAGACTTAAGATTATATCCTGAATGGACGCAAAGGATAACCGACATTACTGAAACAAAGCCTATTCACCATTACACTATGATAATTGAGGGCTATTAAAAGTAGAATATATTACGCTGTAAAATTTATATATAATAATATACTTGTGCGTATAACGTGCCCACTTCTTCGGTCCTCCACTGGTATTAATCCTGTGTCATTAACAGTTATTAATATGCTCACTGGCTTAATACGCACAATATATTCGTTATTTTTTTTATTAATCTCTACTTAAGGGACTGACGTAATTACTTATTTATTGTAACTACGGCCCGACATTTCGGTGGCTTTGCAGCAGACGCAGTCACGGGGGGCAGGCAATACTAATTACTAATACATAAGTATATTATTTTCAGGTGACTCAAGTAGCTCGTAGTCAGTTAGCGTTACGTCGCGTCTTGTCGTTAGGTTTTCTGAAATTGTAATATTCCATGTATCTTATTCATTAGTCTAACAGTATCTAACAGTCAAGAACTAATAAAAAACAGTTAATTTTACTAAAGAGATAAAGAAGAAAAAAAAATTCTTTATTAGCTCTTCATTCTCGTGTATTAACATATTGCAGGTATTAACTTTTTATGTTTGTATTAATAAAAATTATCGTGATGATTGACGTATGATAAGTTTTACTCATAACTTGACTGATGATTACAGGAAATGTTTTCGTTTTAAGTAGAGGTTTATGTTAATAACACAAAAAAAGTAAAAGTGTCTGTTCTTAATACGCAATACCAGACTTATTATTGTGTCATTAATAAAATTGTTACTCGTCTATCTGTAATTTTTTTATCATGGTCAAAGTAATTCATTAATTACCTACATCTATAACGAATGAAAGTAGAATAATGATATACTAAGTGTGCACTGCAGCAGTTATCCGCATTTAAAACGGTACTAAATATGGCGATATCTCCTTTTTTATTTTTTTTTCCTGAGATCAGATACGGTAACACGTTAGTTTAAACATAAGGATTTCTCTGTGATAGCTTTAAAATTTTATTACGTTTTTCTTAAAATATTTCGCTACATATTAGAAGCAATGGAATCATTTTAGATTCATCTTTTGGGCATAATGACAACTTAAATATTCTTTATCATAAAATTAAGTTTCTAAACAGATTTGCGTATATAGTAATCAATTATTTGAAGCCGATTAACTTATGCTTATTATTTAGACTTTTCTTATTTATACGGCCTTATTGGGGGCTTATACCGACATAATGTGCTTAGAGCCTCAACTTGTTTTCAGTTTTCCTTACTTGACTTGAATATTGTTTTATCCCATTATCAATCTACGTACTATAATTATTTACAATATATCATATAATAAGATCAGTACAATCTGTTATGCAAAACACAATGATATAACATTAAGTTTTGAAACTGCTTCGTTGTTATCAATCGGCTATATCGCTTCCTTCTGATGACCGATAGGGTAAGTCATAGCATATACCTATTTATGCAAATTATGCATCAATTAATATGGATGAATAGAGCGACGGATAGCAAACTCTTGCTTGATAAATGAATTTTTATCATTACTATGCTTCACTACATGGTCTTGTCACCTAAGAGCCTCCGAAATATTTGATTGTTTTGTTTCTTGTTTGTTGTCACATCGAGATACAAAAGTAAGACATTTCGCACTTTTAGAAAAAAAAATCAAGGTTATTCCTTTTTTACTGTCTTATAAATTATCAAATAAGAATAATTGTTTCTTCAATTCTGCCTACCAATGAAAGAAACTGCAAGAAACACTTAGGCAACAGAATGATTTTATAATACCTTGGTCATTTAAACAAACATTGCATATTTAATTGTATTTATTAAAAAAATCTATTGTAGTAAAGTCTGTGAGTAATTGTTATTGGTTTTAATTTTTTATCGATGATCATACGATCCATATTATTAGATAAGATTATTACTAAACCCAAGCTTAAGACGGCGCTTTATTTTAGGATATAATAACACGTGCCCGTTTACGTGTTAAGGTACTATATAAACATACTAGCTGCGTCAGCGACTTCGTCCGCGTAGAATAGTTATTTTGGGCATCAATATTTGTTTTTATCGTGACGTCGTCTGCATCTTTATGTAAATCTTAAAAGATAATCATATAATGGTAGCGAATTTTTTTTTAAATATTTTTTTTATTCTTTGGTACACATTTTTTTTCGGTATCTTGAACCGTTTTTAAAGCGTCCGCATCGAAAACCCACAAGGGTGAATTATTTTCCCCGTTCTTTTCCACATTACCCGATGTTTCTTAGCTCCTATAATTTTCCAATTCGAACCAGTTCCTTAAAATTAGCACGTTCAAACAAACAAACAAACTCTTCAGCTTTATACATATATTAGTATAAATATATATAGGTATGTATATCTCTGTAAATATATATCAAACCAAAAAATTACTTCAAACTTTCTCACTCTTCTCGACCACTACGGTCGAAGAGAAGAGTAAGAATTTAGTCGACAATCCTTATCACTAAGGTGTACAAAAAATTGTTTATTCTCAGGCATACTTACTGAAAATGCATATATTTTTTTTTTTGATAGTAATCGGAAACTAACGTTGTCACTCGAGAATGTTAGGTCTATGTAGCAAACATAAACAATTTAAATTCGACATTGATTACTGTTTTCCGAAATTTGTTTTTGTATCTTATAAAACAAAAACAAACTGATTAAATTGCAAAATATGTTTTCGCAGACTTCGATAATAAATGATAATTGTATTATTACTTGGTGAGATAAAAGGTTAGAGGTACATTAAATATAATGCACAGCCTTTAAGTAAGTCAATATCGGTGATAAAAATAGGTTTCAATATTCAATCCTGGAAGAGGCTGACAAATTTCGTCAAAAACTTATAACATTTACTTCCGGGAGTAAAAGCTCGAAGCACTGATTTTATGCCTGAAGAGTCATATAATAATATAGCAAGACCCTATAGGCAAAGAATATAACATTTAGAAAGAATCGATTCTTATGTTTAATTCGAATTTTGAGTTTATAAGACATTGTGGCTAAATTTTAAATAAAAATGTAGTTAATTAATAAATAAAACCCTTATTTCCATTATTACATTTATCACATAAAATTTCAACTAAACATGAACCTACATATTACATAATATTAATACCAATAAGACATAGCAGGAACCCGATCCTCTTTGATGCCCATCTCTTCCATTATATCCATTTCAAATGTGCGGAGCTTGGGTGAAAATGTTATCTGCAAAAATTATGTACATACCTAGTGTATATTTCCTAACAAATATTCTTGAAATAAATGGATTGTAATTTGCTCTCATAGTTTTTGTTACATGACTGTCAAAACATCACTTCTAATGTGCATCTTGAATCATAATTTATTTAAGTTTGGGTAAATGATAATATCAAATTATGACACAGAATTGCAAATTTATTAATTTTCTTCAGGATTTAAATTACTCAAGTTTGAACTAAAAAATATATACCTTAGCAGCTTCATCTGCGGTTGTGTCCTTCTCAGGATTTTCTATATAAAGCTCTTTGCTTTTATAATCTGTGGTCTCCTCTGCTGCTTTTGGTATTGGTATTATTCTACTACTGCTCACCGAGACACGAACCTATAATGATACATGAAACAATGTAATATGAATTCAAAAAGTAGCTGACCTCTATCCATCCATTATCTCCTTGTAGCTCATTAAAGATTTGATTTTTCTTTTAAACTGCAATTCAATTCAAATCCTTTCAAGGCAAAAAAATTACAACTGAAGTTATTGAGAGTTTACCTTTTCCCCATCTTCAGTGTATCTCCATTCGACTTCTGTGGCTTTTAAACTTTCAGGATCAACAAGTTTGACATCTGTGGTAACTAGCAAAGGAGCTTCATTTTGTACTACTATTCCTGGAAATTCCTTATCTTTTCCTACCTTAAAAGGTAATGTACAGTGAGTACAATTGTTTGTTTAATTACAGTAATCTTATATTCTAGAATCTTATTCTGCCTAATAATAAAATTAAACTCTCGTTTAATTTATCAACAATACATTTTTCATTTTAAGCCCAAAACGGGTCCCACTTTATTTAAATGTGTACTACTTTACTTGTATTAATTATCTTACAACTCTCAAGTGAGTGTTTAATCCTTCAACAAAAACCCAATTTCTCTCTTGTATGACTTGAGCGACTATTCCTTGCTTGCCTTTGTCCTTACCCACCAATATTTCAACACGGTCACCTCTAAAACAAAAGTAGCCTTTAATATTAAACTATAAATACATATGGCATTTTGCCACACACTCTAATATAAATGTAAACAAATAAGAATAAATAAATTTAAAAAATATTTTAACCTTATTTCACCATATTATTATATGTATACTAATAATTGTTCTCATAAGAGAATATGATGGTGTAGATAATATGTACAAAATTTATACTTAAGTATATTTTACGTTACGAACGCATCTCATAAATATGTACATTTAATAAGACTTACTTAAAAAAACTCCATTCTTTTATTGGTTCAACAAATACTTTCTTCCTTAACGTTCCGCGTTCATTTTGCCGCGCAAACGCCCCTGTCCAAGGTCTATTGGTAGTAAAGCGAAACTTTTTGCGTGATACCTCGGCATCGGTATATTGTGGATAACCCTTAGGGGTTCTCCAGTAGACCTGAAATATATTACAATTTTAGGTTATATCTGTGAAATCTTGATGTGAAACACTAAGTTATTGTAACTAAATTACCTGCTCAAAACTTCGCTTTACGTAAGATTCTGGAAAATTTGAATATTTAATGGTCAAGTCTCCGACTTTCTTTGATAAATAAGTATATATTCGCATTGTTTTTATTTTCAAGATTAAATTGTTACGATCAAAGATTATGTTACGATATAAAAATATACTGTTGACATTGACGTTTGGAAATAACAGATTAAATAGACTATGTATGAGTTACTTACTGTTGAAAAATTAACAGATAACATATGCGAGTTAATATTCGTATAATTGGGATGTTAAATCTTAAATTTTACAGTCCATGATACCACTGGATTTAACAACAAATGCGTGTAAGTATGCTAAACAGTTAAAAATACATAATATTATATTATGTCATTAAAGTTTTTTTAGACGAAATCGCTAGAATAACAGTTTTTCTGCGTCAAAAATGATATAAGGGGAATTGACACAATACATTATTTTGCATATCAAGACACTAAACTAATAATGAATTTCCTTATATTCCTTATATTTCCATATTACAGAACATTTCCAACTATTTATCATAAAATAAATGCATATTTAATGGAAGTGTCTAGCAATCAGAAAAAAAGTGAAAATTTTCGTCACATTAGCATTTGCTTCTAAAATCTAATCTCGGTCCATAGACAACTGACGTAAATCAGCTGTCCAACAAAATTAGTTCACATAGATGGCAGCACGGCATCACGTGAATTTTCATGGCGGTGTTGTAGGGCTAGTCCCGTATCGTCTTGTGATTTCACCAAAAAATTGCTGTTTCCAATATTTAGTGTAAAACAGCATTAAAATTTAAATTGCCGGTGAGTAATACGTTATTATTAAACTCAATAACGGCCTCCTGGCGGAGGTCGATGTATTTACGCGATACTTTACCATGTCAAAGTGAAAACTAAAGTGTTGAATTGTTTTGGGGTGGTTAGGGGTGTTTTTCTTGACTGAGGCGCGCGAGGCGCCAGGATGTCCGACCTTAAAGGTGGCGCCGGGAACCTTAACACATTATTGATTTACACAAAAGACTGTCGTAAGAATTTAAGTGAATACTTCATTGCCTCGCTCGCCTCGTAAGATGGACTAGTAAAATCGATTTTTCAGACAATCATACGTCTACTTTGTTCATTGAGACGATACTATCGGTGTATTAGTGTAGTTGGATGAGGTGTGTAGTTCTTTTAGAAATTTCAAGGTCAATGTGATGAGTCTAATGTAACATTTCAGTGATTCAGGATGAGTGAATATTGGGTGATCAGTGCCCCTGGCGACAAGACCTGCCAGCAGACTTGGGATACTCTAAATAATGCCACCAAGTCAGGCAATCTCAGTGTCAACTACAAATTCCCTATTCCCGACTTAAAGGTAATGTGTATTTTACACAATTCTTTTAATGCCTAAATGATATGTATATGTTAAGTTCTAGTGTCAGTCTAATCAGAAATCATTTGCTATGTTCAACATTGATATTTAATTTCTGATAAACATGTATATTTTTTTATTTATTAAAAAGAATTTTTAACTTACATCATATATTCAGTTTGGAATTGAAGTCAAAATTTAATTTCTAATTCCTATAAGTTTTAATCATTATTTTTATGGATGTTTAAAAGCACAAGTAGTGGCTAGTTATGATATAACATGAATATGATATCAATGGATACTAATTCCAAGCCTTGACCATGCCTGCTGCAAAGCATCTGTAAGGTTGAAGGTTGAGGTATATAGTTAAAAATGAATTGCAAATAAGCTTAAGCACTATCAATATAACATATATGTATAACACATATCAGAAATTTTTCTTTTTAAGGTCGGGACTTTGGATCAGTTGGTAGGGTTGTCAGATGACCTTGGTAAGCTGGACACCTTTGTGGAGAGTGTTACAAGGAAGGTTGCCCAATACCTCGGTGAGGTAAGACATACAATGCATTACTTGGTCTATTATAATTAACTTGCGTTGGCATTAAAGTTAAGTTTTATACATCTGGAAAAATCCATTGAAAGTTGTTGCTCTTTGTAGGCTACAAGTTAAATACCAGTCCACTGTCAAATGCTTATTGGACCATACAATGTTCCAGAGTACTATTTGGATGATAAATGGGCTACTTCACTTATTTCTAAAATGTTTTCTATATTTTTAATAGAAATTAAGGAACCCCAGAAAAGTAGTCTGATACGATTTGCTGAAATACATCATATTAAAAATCAAACATTTAAATTGCGCGCCTAATAGCCAACTTAGCGAAATGCGAATAACGTCACAACCTTATATTGGCCATTTGTATATGTCGATCATAATATGATTGACATATACAAATGGTCATATTATGACCAATACAATGTACATGCATTTGTTCCAAACATTTACATTTTAACAGAGATTGAAGTAGTAATTAAAAAAAAATCCGCAAATAAAAATTTACTTTTTATTGAATTGTATATATGTAATACTTAATACTGATGACGGTAATTGACGCTATAATATTTTTTACATTGTCCAATAGCCTATTGTTTGGTATCCAATGTCCCTCTATTTTCATTCCAGCAATTATTTTTATGTTGAGATTAAGAATGCAAAAATAATTTCAGGTTCTCGAAGATCAACGTGACAAACTCCACGAGAACCTGATGGCGAACAATAGTAAGTTGTTGAGATTTTGAATATTCATATCTTACTGGCACTAAACATCATCATTTGTCATTTCAGAGAATTATTTTTATTCTAGTTGTTTGGTGCCATTTTGAAATAGGGGTTAAGTTTGGGACTGTTTGCATGAGACATTTAATTTAGACAGATTAGCATGCGCGGGAGAAAATTTTAGAAGTTGAAAAGTTTCAGCTTGAATGAACTAATTACGAATAGGAATGGTCTGAGTAGTACGACAAAAGCACACGATAGTGCGAAAATTTTGGCATGTATCGCTAAGTTACCTTTTCTCGACGTTCAATTAATTATTATTTATTTTCATTTCTTTATACTTTGCATGTATATATTTCTTTTACCGACCTGGTATTGTTTACTTTTAATTTGCGATTCCCGAACACTGTATATTTTGTTTCCTATTGTAAATATACTTTATTTATCTTCCCTTTTACGTAACATACCCCATTTCCAATTGGACAAACGCACTAATGTGTCATTCGATGGACTTTTAATGTTATTAAAACTCCATTTTATCAGTGGAAGCTACGAATGCCGAGTGGACAGTGTATGATAGTGAAGGGTTCTTGTAGATGTGACTATTTTGAACCCGTGCATCCTTTGTGTACGAGTTACTTGCACTATTCAAGTATTGATGTTTCGCTTCGATTGGTAGCATTTTGGGACTTGTGTACACTCGTTTATCTAGACTCTAGACACACGAATGTTTTTGTTTATGGCGTTTCCGTCTTAGGCGAGTTGTAAAACTGTTTTATGTTTTAGATTGAGAATGCTAGCTCTATAATTGCATTTCAGTGTCTGAAAAATGGAAAAAAGTATGCGGAAGTGAGTAATTAATGTAAATGTATGTATTGGGGTGTAATGTGATTAGAGCTTACTTAAGTTAATGCTTAATCTGTTACAGTTGTTATATAGTTTAATATGTAATTTTAATCAAACGAATTTTAGCCATCTGCGTCGGGCTTTTAGTCGAACGATTTCGCTTAACTGGCTTTATATTAAACAGAAAAGTATTTATACGAGAAGGTAATTTATTTATTTGTCACGTAGAGTATTAACCAGACTGCAACGAGGTGATTTCGGTTTTGACTGACAAATTTGATTGTGTAATCTTTTATCTCGTCGAGAGGAAACCGCTCGTAAGTCGTAAGCGTCGCTTAGGTAGATAAGTATATGTTTAAGCCGTTCTGTGTAACTGCAAATATATTGTTATAGTGTACAGTGGAACTGCGTTTGCACCAAACCGTCGGGAGATCGGTACCTCGATCGCAATCACTGCCTCTCAGACATTCATAGCTTAGTCATACCGAGCTTCCATATTGTTCACGCTTCGTGCTTCTTATTTTTATTGTTATTACTGTTTTATTTGGTTTTATTTTTATATCTCTCTCCTCTCCTCCCACTAACGTCCTGCGAGCCGTCGAATCGCGAGGCCCGAACTCGATAACTCGAAATAGAATTACGTCCGGACCGTGACGTGTAACATCTAAAAATTTTACAGAGTTAGGACGAGGCCATAGCGCGCTCGGAAAGATTTTTAATTTAACTAAAAGCACTATAAAAGAGGCAAGCACGTGTTTGCATACTGTGCCGAACGCAGGCGTGGACTCTTACGGAGATCCCGGTGGCGGGGAGCCGCCCCCCACTCCCACGTCGCCGGTCTGCGACTCGGCGTTCTCGGATCACCACGGGTGCTGGCCTTGCGAGCACCGGGACCACTCGGACTGCGCGACCCACTCGCAGCCCTCCAGCGGGCGCAGCTCCCCGCGCTGGGACGACGACGAAGAGGACCGCCCGCACCACATCTTGAATCAAGGTTTAGGATCCCGTCCTAATCCTACTCGATTGGAATTTGAGGCTTCGCTTTCTAAACTGTAACACGGCCGGACGCGGATACAGCGCTCCACACCGCGACCACTGCTGCGAGTCACCCGAAGTTAGCTCGCACGGATAGCGATCGCCACTTGACTCGGCCGGCTAATAAGCTTATTAGCCGGCCGACAGCGGTGACCTGTATCCGCGTCTCCGGCAGATGATATCTCGACTGCAGTCTCAAATCCCTCTCAACCGCCCCGGTAGGCGTAAGGCTAGTTGCACTGGCGCTGCCTGTACTGGAGTTAGGGATCGCGGAGGCAGTGATTGCGATTATTCCTCGCTTATCATCATCGACAGGTGGCGCTAGTCGCGAAGCGCCATCCTGAATTTAAAGAACTTTGTCGCTTCTGAATTTAGGGTGACGCGACGGTTAAGCTAGGTGGCCTATCACTTTGTTGTACGTGTCGGAGCATATTGGCTTGGCTAATCACAAGTGTACGGTGCATATTTATAAATACAAACTATATTGAGTGTGCAGTTTACGCGAACGTAGGGCTGTTTCCTTTGATTATAAACGTAAAATCCATTGTATTTGTAAATATGTAACCGCGCGTAGTATGTAACGAGCTAAATATAGTATGTAAGCTATATATTTTACAAGACGACCCCAGGTAGCTCACTCAGTCTCTTGCTTCTTATTTTGTTTTGCCTTTTTTCGTTTCTGGTAATTCCTAATTACGGATATGTTCATAGACTGAAATAAATCTTTAACTTATTACTGTAAGTTCAGTCTTTCATCAGGATAAGAATTAAGGAGGGAATAACTACTTCATATTTGTTAGTATTTGATCCCTTTGACGCTTTATAAATTCGACACATAACACATCCAACAACTGTAAGAGACAAATATTCTTAAACGATTGATAGGAATCAGTAAAGTTGGTTGACTCGTTTTGTCCCTCATCGGTGTGACACAGGCAAATTGTGAAACTGTTATTAATAAGGACAATTGCACACGTAAAATTGAACAGAACTCTTATTTTGAAGTCCACTATTGCATGTTCTGCATGATTAAAGATTGCATGATTTATCAGTGTGATTTGTGGAAGTCGGTATAAATGCCATCTGTCATTTAAATATGATCCGGACCTGGAACGGTATAAGGTTGACAGTTGGCGCGCCTTTGTACCAAAATGCATTAAATTCCTCGTTGGTTATATACGATCAATGCAGTACTTTGTTACTAAACAAATTTTCGGTCCTTGGCTCTCTGTCAAAAATTTAATCTTTGTATTTTTAGTGGTCTCAATTTTAGTACATATTTGAAAAGGGTCCAATTGACAGAGACACAATCGTATTTTTCTTTTAACCTAGAGGCCGGTGTGACCTTTATTTGATTGAAGATGTTGACAGATGGTTTTTGGTTTAGTGATAGCGTTTTGCATGGAAACATTCTACGTTGTTACTTTTGTATGCAGTTTTAATTTGGCTTCGATAATATTTGTTGTTCTTTTCAGCACTTTCCAAAACTGTAATCAATGTTCCTTAAGTTATTATAGGACCCCGATTTGCTGCAACCGATAAAGATTACAAATACGTACAGTTTAAAAGAAAAACACTTTTTCACGTTAGTCATTATGTATTATTTTTCCATAGACAAGTAAGATAAGAAATAGTGTGTATGGTAGAAGACAACAAAAATAAAATTAGTCGGTTCTCTCCTTGTACCTCCAGGTGTATTGTTGTTTTAGGAGAGTCGTAAAATATGTTTTAACAGTATGCTATTAAATGGCTTCAAAGTAACTTTTTTATTACGATGTTTTGATAGTTGTCTATGGAAGTTTAATGTACATAAATTGAACACAATTTCTTGACAGTAAACAATTGATATATGTTTGAATTCTTTAATTTTTGATCTTTATACTATCAGCATATTAATACATGTCCCAAAAACGCCGCCGTTTCCATCTCCCGACCCTTATAAACTTTTATCAGTCTGTTTCTCTTTAATCCGAGTGAATGTCCTCGTAATCGTTGCATGGAGAGTAACCCGCCGCGTCGTGATTTACAGGTGACCTGCCCACCTATCTGACACGTTTTCAATGGGACATGGCGAAGTATCCCATCAAACAGAGCCTTCGCAACATCGCCGATATCATCAGTAAACAGGTGAGGGTTCGAAGACGACCCATCGTGATTGGGGATCGTAATACCGCGCGTCAAATACGTAAGGGCCGTTATTAAAACGCAACTATTAATGTTCCAGGTGGGCCAAATCGATGCAGACCTAAAGGTGAAATCATCCGCTTACAACGCGTTGAAGGGTAACTTACAGAACTTGGAAAAGAAACAGACGTAAGTTTTATTTTCACTTGCGTGTGGTACGGTTGTGCACATCCTTAAAGACTTAGTGAAAATCACTTCCAGGACAATTCATATAACTTTAGATCCTATTCTACCAACATTACAGCAGTATACAATATTGTTATAATGTAAAGATTAAATTATGGCATTTTTTCCTTTATTTGATCTTAATTTTTATATTGAGTTTAAGTTTTATACGTTTTTGGTGTGGCTTATGTAAGTAAAGAAATTTCTTTCACATTGGGCATTTTTAATTTGCCTACATACAGAAGTGATAATAAGGCACCTGATATACATTTAAATTTGAATTTTTAGAGGAAGCTTGTTGACCCGCAACTTGGCCGACTTAGTGAAGAAGGAGCATTTCATTCTCGACAGCGAATACTTGACTACCCTACTCGTCATTGTGCCCAAGTGAGTGAAATTAGTTTAATAATAATTATAATACAAAGTAAAACCATCGTGAGATTTTCAGTTTTTTGAAACCTGGATGTAGTTATTGTCCATTTTTGTATTGCTCCTTTGTGGGTATATGGTTTAATTTGTGTTATAAAGAGGCAGTAAATATCTGAACTAAGAACTGTGCTGTTGTGTATTTAAATGAAAACACATTAGGTATACATTTTTTGTTTAACAGAGCTCTGTTCAGCGACTGGAACGCAAACTACGAGAAGATTACCAACATGATCGTGCCCCGTTCCACCCAGCTTATCCACCAGGACGGCGACTACGGCCTCTTCACCGTCACCTTGTTCAAGAAGGTCAGTTAGTCCAGTTAACCGACTAGGAATATTAGTAATATAGAAAATTTTGTATCAGTGTTTTTACAGTCTTTTTTACTATTTTTTATCTTGCACCCAGTCATCGAACGATCGCATAATAAACGGGTTGCGGTTTTGATTATATTCAGGTTCGATATATTTCTGAAATGAATTTATAAATTTTCTGAAAAATTTTCTCGTTATTATAGGGCATTGAAAAAAATTCGGGTATCAAAGCACCGCCTACAGATAGCAAGTCAACGCGGTTTCAGTCTTTAAATTGCTGAATGTTAAATGTCAACATAAGCCGACATCTTGTCTAGATGTCATATGGCGAGGGTGTGTCAGCTGACCTATTGTCACTGTCAATAATATCCAAGTGAATCCTTCTAGGTGGTGGAAGAGTTCAAGCTGCATGCCCGCGAGCGCAAGTTCGTGGTGCGCGAGTTCTCGTATAACGAGCAGGACCTCGCCGCCGGAAAAAACGAGATCACCAAACTCGTGACCGACAAGAAGAAGCAATTTGTACGTTTTTGCCTTTTCTTAACCTTAGCAATTTTAAAGATTACTTAATAACGTTTTTAAAAAAACATATGTGAGTAAAAAACAGCCATCCATTTTTTTACCTGTATCCTACAGATTCTTATAAGAAGAAAGTCTAATTTGATTCTGTAGGAACTACAGAAAATTGGTAAATGCAATTAAGACGAGAAGAATATTTTAATTAAAATTAATAATATTCAACATTTGAATGCTGCTTAAAAGTAGACCTGTATGATAATATAAGAAAATATAGGCTATATCCAAAATAATAGCATACTTAGTGTACATACATTAGGATACAGGCTTTTGTCTGTTTTAACTCCCTTATAAAATTTAAATGCTAAAGCTCCAATATTCAGATATCTTATCATACATATTATGCACAGGAAAGATTTTATCCTTTATAACTATAGTTAGAAACTATTTGTCCGTACGTAGGGTCCTCTAGTCCGTTGGCTGAAGGTGAACTTCTCAGAGTGCTTCTGCGCATGGATACACGTCAAAGCCCTGCGCGTCTTCGTCGAATCTGTGCTAAGGTAAATAATTATATAATAAGGTAAAAAATTGAACCTCTGACTGGCTCTGAAACGCGTTACGTAACTCAAGAACTTATCATTTCAATTAACATTAGTAAAGTAAATATATTTTATAGATATGGTCTGCCAGTGAACTTCCAAGCGGTAGTCATGGTCCCATCGCGCAAGAGCGTGAAGAAACTGCGCGACGTGCTGCAGCAGTTGTACGCGCATCTGGACCACTCCGCCCACCACCACTCTGGGGCACAGCAGGAGGTAACACAACAATATTATAAATGCGAAAGTTTCATTCTATAAGTCAAAAACTTCCTTTTGCTTCACTTTTCTATATTCTTCCATTAAGTTTTCCTAATATTATAAAAAACAACTTGACCGTGGTGCAATTTAAAGAGGTGGTATGCAATTGGGTGATGTAGGTCTCTCTTCCAATACCTTTGAAGGAACAATATAAAGTATCATCGAAATATTTATATTCCAGAGTGCTGAGCTAGCAGGTCTAGGTTTCGGCCAGTCGGAGTACTTCCCATACGTGTCCTACAAGATCAATGTCGACATGATTGAAAAGTCCACATAGGGTGTACTTTGAATGGCTGTTTAAGGTATAGATTGTACAATTTCTATGAGTAGTGTGCAAATGTATTTAATACAAAATCGTTTTCTACTTTCAGGCAATGTTACCAAGTTCTGTGCGAATATCAGTTGCATCAGCATCTAGTTGCAATATGGCCATGTAAAATAAAAAGTAACTGTTGACATTCTAAATGAGCCTTATTGATTATTATTCAATGAAAAAGTTTTATTCCAATACTATTTTTCTATGCAAATCAAATGCGTATATCGAAGCAGGTTGTTTATTTATTATCAAATTTTATTTATAGTGTTGCCATTTTATCGCTTCGGGAAATTGAAACGCAACAATTTTATTTCTTCAGTATTATGTTGCGTTATTAGAGTAGATATATAACAACTGTTACTAATAAATGTAAAATAATGTTCAATGAATTATATTGGTATAAAAAACAAATACGAAACTGTAAATAAGAACATTCCTCATAAAACTTGTGTAGTACATATTAAATATTATTCAAGTTACTGTTTGTTGTTGACTTTTATTTATCCTTTTTAAAGGTGTGACAGACAGGGCACAAGAGATGTATTTTAGTCTATTTCTAGTTGTGTCCAACAGAGGAGTGTTTCTTATGTTTTATCAGAAACATTCTTTCATTACTGCTCATATGTATTCCGGGAATATAAAAAATGTCTATATAAACTACAATGTCCCTTTTGCAAAAGAATTTGCTTGTTTTTCTTACTTTCATATGTTAATATATATTACCTAGGAACTTGTTTTATATGGAAGACATAGGAGCTCTAAAAAGAATGAATGGGATGAGATTGAACTTCTTTTAATAAGGATACAATATAAAAACATGTATATTTAAAATCGCAAAATGTATATTTCACCAGATATTTTTAGATATAATTCTAGGAACAATATGATCTTTGAAGTAAATGATGAGATTGAAACGATAGCCTCTTAATGTTTGAGCGTTTAATAAATACATGTTATGCTATAAATAATATTATAGCTTAATGTGAAGTTATTTACAAATTACACTTGTAAGTTTAAGCAAGGCACAATAAAATATTGGAATAACATTGTTACAACGAATTTTAGTCTGACAACTATTTCCATTCATCATCTTCATCAGTTTTATTGTCAGGCTCTAGCATTTTCGATAACATAGTATCACCGCCTTCGTTCATTCTATTGAATAAAGATGTTAATAATTTCTTATTCAAGTCGTCTGTTTGAGTCCTTTCACGAACAGGAAGATCCGGGGTTTTCTCCTGATTGTTTGGTGTTTTCTCTTCTTGTTCTGGCGTATTTAATTTAACCATATTTAAATCGATATTTTTAGTTCACTTATACCTAATATAAATAATCTGAATTTACAAACAAATTCCAAAAAAAATACACACAATAAAGCAGGTAAAACTTTAGAAGCAGAAAATGAAATGTCAGAATAATATGATAAATGATTTGTCTTTTCTGTCACCGTACATCTTATATTATCTATGACAGAACTCTCAAATTGCTTCATTTAACGTATGCTATTGGCAACACTTAAAGTTAAACGTCATTGCTTGTCAGATTTCCATCTTTTCGACCAGCGACATTTTCTAGGACTGGTGATAATTTTACGTAAAGAAAACTAAGAAAAGTGGGTTAAAATACTAAATAATTTGTGTTTTTAAGCATCTATAACTAGCGACTATTCTATAAACGTCTGTACAGTGTAGAAATCCCAGAACCCTTTAATCGGCTTAAAGTGCATTACTCTTACATAACTTGCCATAACCTGCAGAAAATCATCTGATTGTATTTTGTTAATTTCAGAGCGAAAATGTTGGGGCGCGTAGTTCCGGGTGTTTGCGCCCAGGTGACCATGGCGGTCAACCACCAGCCGAATCGTAACATGGCTACATTGAAGTCAATTTCAATTCGTCTGAAATCAGTCAAAAATATTCAAAAAATTACCCAGTCCATGAAGATGGTGTCAGCTGCCAAGTAAGTATCTTGCTTTTGATCTAAAATCGAACTTATATAAAAAAATCTAGAATCTCAAATTATTTTATGTTTGATATTTGCCAGAGGACAGTAAAATCTCCCCATGTCTTTGGATAGATAATATATAAATTGTTCAAATTAATGATGATCTATATTACTAGATACACGCGTGCTGAGCGTGACCTGAAAGCTGCAAGACCATATGGAGAAGGTGCTGTCATATTTTATGAACGTGCTGAGGTAAGACAAACTTAGTACTCAGTTAAATCATAGTAAAACCCACTTACATAGATTTCTCAGGAAACCCTCTTAAAAAACATGTCTTAAACTAAAGAGTGTATTTTCCAGGTTAGGAGGAACTAAGTATATAACATAATATTATTATAATGTTCTAATTTTGGTAAATGTAGGTAGGTAGTTAATAAGTATAATCACATTACTTAAAATAATTATTTAATTTGGTTGGACAGAAAGATTTTGATACATTTTTCATGTGCTTTCTTGTATGTTATGGGGCCCCTTATTAGTAGTTCTAAAGATTGCGCTTGAGGAAGCTATTCCATTAAAACTTTTTCAATTTATCAAAATTTCCTACCTTTTGCATTTTTTCTCTGCACACCCCTGAACTGTTTTTCTATTATATAATTTCCCCTTTATAAATAATGCACACTTGCAGACAATTAATAGCCTATCACAGAAGCTTTCTGTCTCTGCTCGACAACAATCTTACAAACAACACAATATGCAGCTCAATCCCTACCACAGTTTTAGTAAAGTGAAGGTGCACCACTATAATGTGTGCAATTGATGTCTACATTACATTAGACCCAAAAAATTCTCAAAATATGTAGTAGTGTTAGAAATCTATACTAATATATTAAGCTGAACGCGCTAATCTCAGGAACTAAAGGTTTGAATTGAAAAATTATTTTTGTGTTAGTTGGAATATTTATCGAGGAAGGCTACAAAACATTGCGCTGTGACTACTAGGACCGAAGAAGCGGGAAATGTGAAATAAACTTCATTTCCTAAAGTTTAAATAACAAAAAAGTGATTCCTTTTTTTAAGGTCTAAATAATGGGCGTGACACATCTTTGAAGATTAACTTGCAAGAATGACGGGTCGCGAGCGACGGGACTCGTCTGATGTCGATGTCAATTAGCAGTTAATTAGTAAATTTATATGATGATGAAAATACCCAAAATAACTATTCTACGCGGACAAAGTCGCCGACACAGCTATTTGTTAAATAAAACGGAATTTAAAGTCTACTCTTCAATGTTTCAGGTTGCTGCCCCAGAAGATGAGCCAAAGCAATTGTACATTGCAATGACCTCTGACAGAGGTGAGACTTGCATAGAATATACTTTACATCTGGTGAATCACTAATTAAAGACAAAGAAGTGCATGTACTGCTTGGTATTTGATAGTGGTGTTGGGTTTCTGGAGAAATTTTATTTAGCAGTTACAACTCTTAAGTAGTAGATAACATTAGTAATAACAAAGAAATAAATGCTGGAGTAGAAAATAATGATTTGGCAGGAAACATTAATGGCTAACATGGCTTAATCTACCTGCTATCATGTAAATCTCATCCAGGTCTATGTGGTGCTGTGCACACTGGTGTGTCTAAAGTGATCCGTAACAAGTTGAATGAGCCTGGATCTGAGAACATCAAGGTGATCTGTGTTGGAGATAAGTCTCGCAGTATTCTGCAGCGTCTTTACGGGAAACACATCATTAGTGTTTGTAATGAGGTTTGTATTTAAATACTGTAGTATACGCGAGTAGTACACATTTTAATAAAACACGTTCACGGTTTAAATGTGATATATATTAGTTGAACTTATTCGAAAATTATTTTTTGTTCGCAATTAAATTCATTAATTATATTAGTTTCGCCAAATACCAACTTGAACGGAATAGGTGACGCTAGCGCCGCTTTTTTAGTTTGACGTCAGTGACACTCCACGGCTGCTGCAAAGCATCCGAAATGTCGGGCTTTAGTTAAAATAATTTTCAAATAAGTTTAACTAATATATATCGCGTTTAAACCGTTAAAGTGTTTTAGTTAAAGGTTCGTATTTGTTTTGTTTATGGCCAAGTAATTTATTTGTGGTGCTGCTACCCTGTATTTTGACACTAAATTGAGATTAAAAAGGCTACTGAATAAACTGCCATAAGTGTTGCAGTAATAGATTTTTATTTTATGTATTTTTTTTTATTGAATTGGATGAAGTTAATCAGGTACTTTTGTGTTAAATTCAATTTACTGCTTTCACTTGTACTATTTTAAATAAATAATTTATTTCAGATTGGTCGTTTGCCGCCAACATTCAAAGATGCCGCGACGATAGCCAACGCCATCATGACCTCTGGTTATGACTTTGGTTCCGGAAAGATCATCTACAACAAGTTCAAGTCCGTCGTGTCCTACGAACAGTCAGACTTGCCACTGTTCAGCTTGAAGTCTATTGAGGTATTTGTAGTTTTTAAGTGTGTTGTAGCAGTGTATGAATACTAATCGATTTTGTTAAGTTATATTGTCTTTCCAGACTCTTACCATTGTTTTCTCCTACAAGCCTTTGGCTTGAATCACAAAATTAAAAAACATGCACAGCTTTATAGATCTCCATTCCATTATTAACTTTCTTAAAAACTGCTTTGAAGAAAAGATTCTTCTATTTTTCTTGCATATATCGTTTACTAATAAGTTTTACTTTCTAGACCTGAGTAGTCTTAAAATGTTACTTTGTTTTTCTTTTCAGACTGCCCCCAAACTGGCCACGTACGACTCCCTGGACGCCGACGTGCTACAATCGTACATGGAATTCTCTCTGTCGTCCATGATCTTCTACGCGCTTAAAGAGGGCGCCTGTTCCGAACAATCGGCTCGTATGACGGCCATGGACAACGCTTCCAAGAACGCCGGAGAGATGATCGAGAAACTCACGCTGACCTTCAACAGAACCCGTCAAGCCGTCATCACCAGGGAACTTATCGAAATTATCTCTGGTGCTGCCGCTCTGGACTAGGCGTAAAAAAATCTGCGGGAGAATTCAATTCATTCAAAATCAAGAAATCAATTTCCCGACTGCTCCCGTAATGTCAAGTATAGCTGTCAATGTCATATCTATCAATATTTATGTATCTGCACTAATCCGCTGTCCCGTGTCATTGCCGTAGAAGTGCAATGCCTGACATTCCCGAATGAGAGTTTCCGTGTACGTGTAAATACACACGCAACACTTGACTGGCTTCAACACCTTACGTGTGCGTGGTGACGCTCGTTCGATTCCCGGCCGTCTTCTACTTTTAAGGATAATGTGGTGGTTAGCAATAAATAAGTGTATAGTCATATTTTATTTTATTTCCTAAAATGTATGGCAATAGAAAATTATTCCACTACGGTCGTCTCGCCATATTATATTTTTGGATAACCTAACTACTTAATTAATACATGTGGAGATAATACATAGTAGTCTTAATTTAATAAAAATAGTTTTAAAACAATAGGTGAACACTCCGCTATTTTAAAAATCGTTCTGCAGCATTGATTAACACAGTAATAGAAGATTTTGCTCAATTCTAAAATATGATTGATTGAAAATAGAAATTGTACTTGAGTACGAGTTTTTTTACATATTATATTTGTGTCAAAAATAAGGTTATATGCGTATTAAAACATCTGCACTAGATCACGTTAAAATCGACTCATTGTTGACGAACCGAGATAACTGAAGCGAATAATTATCAGATTTAAAAAATAACAAGAATGATAAAAGAAATCGGAGTCCTTTAAGAGACATTTCTTCATCTGTTGATGGGTGGTGCACAAAGACACGAAGTGAATTAATGTTTAGTTTAAGACAGATTTAAATATGGCAGTAAACATAAATAAACATTAGCCAATGAAATCAATAAGCTTAAACAAGTTTAAACAATTATCTAGTTTACAAATACACACGATTATACTACATAATATTAAATGATATTTAAATAACTATATTAATGTCAAACTTTAACAATAGAATGAACTAATAACCTAAGAGTAACTAAATATAATTAAAAGTTCATGAATGGGTACCCTTTTAATACATTGCAGTCCGTAAAAAGCAATTATATATATTTATCCTCAGAACAAAGGCGTGGAATATTTAAATTTATGTGACTAAGATATTTCGTGACTTTGTCTCTTTCACAATCTACTAAATAAAACAAGGACAAAAAAAATGGTGAGTGGGCGTAATTTATTCCCCTATTATCTCGTTTAGGCAACCAAAAAAGTGTAGATTTAGAATTTTAGTTCAACTGTCCAATATAGAAAAACAAACACATAACTTCATAATCTCGATTACAATAACGTAATACAATATATTTACAAATGCCGCCAGCGACTCCTTGGGGTGGTTCAGATTTCACGATGTTTGTATCTGGAAACGACAATATTCAATGTTACGTTATACAAAGCTGATAAAACTCTTTTTCGAAAGTAAATGGGCTAGTTACACTTTCTTGTTTGTAATAAATTTATAACTAACCTTCGTTTTTAGAACTGCGAGTAAACGAATATCCTAAGCCAAAATAGGTCGACAGTGAATCTTGTTTTGTGTTTGGCTGGGGTATTTTTTTACCCACACTTCTCTGTCCTCTGCTATCGTATAATAAAAAAGAGACTTAACAAACTGCTTGTGATTTTATGATTCTAAAAATAATAACCACCTTTTTTTTTAAACTGATGGTGTGAATGCCTAATGCACGTCCACGTCGGGCAACAGTGACGTGGGTAAATCGTATAGCCGACCAGAACCACTAAACAGCCCTCTACGGTGCTTCGAGGGAGCCCTGGGAACACGTTTGTACGACTCAAAAGCTCCAGCACCAATACCCATTTCAGACAAGGCGAAAGCAAGATTAGGGATGATCTAGGAGGTGCGCATAGCGTCCCTCCTTGATCCCCGTCTCGCCGCTCGCAGTGGGTCATTAGACGCCATCTCTCTTGCTTTTCAGTCGCCTCCTTATGAAATTTATAACCACCTGTTACATAGTTCACTCGGGCAGCGCGGCCAATCTGCTAGGCGGGGTCCTCCAAACCGCCGAAGAGGTCCTCTTCAGGCGCGCACGATCAATTGTGGGGAATATCTCGCGAAGGTCGGCCGTTTGCTCGCGAACCGAGAACAGCTTGTCCACCTGCGACGTCTTAAGCCGGTCTTGCAGACACGCCATGTGGAGGCGGTTCTGTGAAGCAGACAAATGTGACATTTTAAATTAAGGCACAATAATTATGTAAAAGTGTAATTAAAGCGTAGTAAAAAAGCGTACGCGTGTGAGTCGAAACACCCGACGTAACTGATTGGTTAACCATTTATAAAACTTTATCGGACAGATTCCTACCTTAGAAGTGGACCAGGCAGGCTCCGGTCTGCGCACCGGAGAAGCTTCCTCATCAGAGTTGAGAAACTGGAAACCACCTTCCATGTACACAGGCTCCATTCGGTATTTCAAGGGTGTTCCAACTGAAAATATGATTAACCACTCTCTTAGACCGTCATAAAATTCACTATCACCTTATACCCCATTATAATACCTTTATATACTTCATTAATGTCTGTCATTAGCCAACGGCCCCCTTCTTGTGGCCACATTTTATTTTCATCTGTTAATTTGTGAGTCGCAACGCAAGCTGTAGTCAATCTAGCTAATTTTAAATTTAATAAAACAAGATTTACAATGTCGTCGTACGGACGTCTATGAAAACATCCGCCACACAGGCAGACATTTGGCACATTTTATTGTCGGTAATCAATTAACGACTGCTTATAACAAATTTCGGACATTTGATATATTATGTATTTTCTTATAGTTGTCATCTTAAATTTGATTACAAACCATAAAAATAAACATTTGATAATTTAAATAAAGCTAACAATTTTTATGTGGTGTTTTACGCTTGTGTATTTACGGAAACGAGACATTTTTATCTTTTTTTTTTAATTTACCGTACTCCTACTACAATACGGCCGACGTAACTTGGCAAGCCTGATCTAAGCGCGAAACGCTGCGTAGAAACGTTCTTTAGGATGTTAACGGTGGAAAGAGCGAGGGGCGCGGGACGAAGATCTAGGCTAGTGATTGACTCAATGTTAACACAATCGACCGCTTATTCTATCAAATTGCGTAATCGATTTTTATCGATTTAGATTGTGGATTTTAAATCGTATGAGATATTGTACTAAATGGATTGATGAACACAGTGAATGGTGTTGTTAATAAACAATACCATGATTACCTTTAAAGGAAAATAAAATCATTAAAACTTTTTTCATTATTGAACTACCTGATTTAGTTAAATATGAGTTATTATTTATATAATTACTATTTATACCTTCTTTAGGCCTTTTAATACAATTACATTTCTACGATCCAATTTTGTTTATTTCAATAGAAATCGATTAAACGACACTCTCAAGGATCTCGTATGGACATCTCTACTAGGTTCTTTCGAAAAGCTTCGTACAGATTCGGTAAACAGTAGTGTGTCTCGGTCACTCCTTGGCGTTAATTTCGTTATCTGTCTTGAGCGCAGTCCGTTAGAAAAGTGATTGTTTATTTTTAAATTGAATATTATATTTCTCTTTTGTTATTTTGTCTTTGTATTTTAGTGAAAGATGAGTGTTCGTAGCCCTTATTCTCTTTGAATCAATTATTGGTATGTTATTTTTGCTTGATATAGGTAAAATCTTTTATTTATCCCAGTAACGAAAATAAATGGCAGTATTAGTTTTCTTTACGAGTGTACATGCGCCAATGTTAGACTAACCTCTCTTCAGACTTGCCAAGTTACGTCGGCCGTATTATAACCATCTTGTGTTCTTGTGATTTGTAATGAATCACAATGTGAATTTGTTATTATAGTGTTGTGTTTCAAATTGTATTACACATATTATACATTGGGGACAACTACTTTTTCAGACTTCCGTATCCGTTTCTCCGTATTTCAATTCAAAACGATCCTAGCTAAAATAATCCGATAGCGCAACTCGTATAGCCGTTATATGGCTGGGGGATTCCATCAAGCGAATCCCAAGTTCATCTATTATATAAATCAGTTAAGACTTACTTTTTTCTCCCTCCATCCTCTGTTTCATTTTGTGCTTCTCTTGGAACTCTCTCTTCTTCCTCTCGATCTCGCGTTCCATTAACGCCGCCTCTTTTTTCATTCTGGAAAAGTAGTTTACCGTTAATGTCCACTTTAGTTGTAACATCTCTTACAAAAATGTAATTTTCTACAGAACAACTTGGTTTGGCAATTACAGATTGAATTTTTAGCTCATTTTGTTTAGATGTTGTTTTGCTGGGGTATTTCCATAAAGCGAACATCAAGTTTATCTGTCCTCTTCTGTCATAAAAAATAAATTAAAAGGAGTAGTTTTTATGAACTCACGCATCAGCTTCTTCTAGTTGTTTCCGACGATCTTCCGCTTTCTTTTTCTGCTCTTCTTCCAGTCTTTGTTGTCTCGCGTTCTCCTCTGCGCGACGTCTCTCCTCCGTCTCCGCTACTTTACGAGCCAGCTCTTGCCTCTTCTATGAAACAGATTTTACTAGATGTTAATACACATTTTTCGTAAGATAAAACTGAAAATGACATTACAACACAGAAGATAACTAGGGATATATAAAGCTGACTCACTCTCTCGATTTCCTTCTGTCGTTCTAACTTAGTAACATCAGCGTGCAGTTGCTTCTCGTGCTTCTCCTTGGCTGCGGCGACAAGGGCCGCCCTTCTCTCGCGTTCGGCTGCCTCGCGCGCTGCTGCTGCTGCCGCCATCTTTTCTTCTCTTTTTCTATATTGGCATGTAATGCATTATTTTTTGTCCAGTTTATTTAATACTTAATATTACCTTTACTATTATTATTTCTTTCACACCAAAGAAAGTCCTTAGACCAATAGGCGATTGTCTTGTACTGAACTTTATTTTTTGTTTATATATTTTTTATATTAAATGTACACTTAAAAGAGAAAACTCCACGTTAAACTAACTCACCGTCTATGCATCTCTCTCTTTGCCTCAAGCAACGCCTCTTTCTTTCTTCTTGCGTCTTCTTTCTCCTTTTTAGACTCTTCCGCAGCCTCGCGTGCCTTATTGATACCGCTCAATTTCGAAGTGGAAGTTGGAATAAAGGACTTCATTTGGGAGGAAACGGTAATCTTTGAAGCAGATTGGATGACCTGTAAAATTCAATATTTCTCTTGAAGTAAAGCAGTTAGAATATGACTGCAGATTTTTGCTATTATATTCTTAAACAGTGCATATTTTTTATGGCGCCAATATTACCTGCGGCATTTTTCCATTGAAAATTAAGTTGTTCATTTTTGTCAGTGTGTCTGGGGCGAGAGCGGGCTTGATCACTTTGTCTGGGGGCGTTTGATTCTCATTCGCGTCATCCTGTAATATATCACATATCCCGTAGAGAAAAACACGTTTTAGTATGATTATCTAAGGTTTTATTTTTATAGGAAAGCTGTATTAAGAAAAGCAAAACCTTTCTAACTGGGCCGCGGGCAATCCTTGTGATAGCGGGTTTAGTGAAATTAAGTTTTGTGAGAATGCCTAGTCACAGATAATAAGAGAATAGATTATTTTACATTCTTTACCTTTTTGGTCAACGCTCGTGTCTTTGTCCTCGTAACTCTGGACGCCAATTCTTCAAATTGCTGTACTTTCTCTTTCACAGCAGAGCTGAAATGTTTTTACTTTTATAAACAAACAGGATGTCACTTGACGAAAGGTAAGACATAGAGAAATAATACGTACGTGGGTTGTACTTGGGGGGGTTTCTTGGGAGGCGTTTTCACTTCTATTGAGTCGTCGTCGGTCAACAGCGAATTGTCTTCAGTTATATTCGTTGCCATTGGCGCTATGAACAAAAGCAAGAAGATATTACAAATGAACTCAGATGAAACGTGTCTTCGGAAAGAAATTAGGTCTTTCATAAGAAAAGCATTCGCTTGTGAACTTTCCCGTATATATCTAAAAGTTTCCTATACAACAGTTACTATCCTAATTTGTTTTTTAATACACACCGATAGTAACGCGACTTTACATGCTTATCATCCGTGCACCCTGGTTCGTGTCGGATAGAATTTGAATATTCCTACTACTTTTTCTATTATAAAATAAATTGATGGATCTGGAAATCGAACCAATTAAAGAAACAAGTGAAGCGAGATGATCAAACTTCTAAGATGAAATACCTCTTTCGATGACAACGGTAGCATCCAAAATAACGTGAGTCTTATTAGAAGAGATCGTATCGCTGGCGCGAGAGTCTAGTACGACCGTCTCGTTAATCATATTCTGAAAGAAAAATCACAATAACTATCAGTCATATAGTTTTTCGTTGATAGAACAATATTTGTCTTTATCCTCTAATTTATATATTTAGGAAAAGCAATAATATGCCTTTACTCAAGGACAAAATTTATTATGTAGTATATAAAAATCGTAAAAGTATTAGTTACTGTACTCCTCCCACACGATTAGACCGATTTTTACCGAGTTTTATATGCATAATCATTAATTGTTCATACTCCTAAGTGGTAAGGTTTATTAATCTCTAACACTTTTTTTTTTGACAATGTTTTTTTAATAATGTGGGATTAAAAAACATATTAAATTTTCAGCCCCAATTTTTCAATAGTTATTTAAGTAATTTGTAATCCCGCTCGATAACTGTTCGATTATTCCTTCTCACCCAGTAACAGAACATCATTTGCCGGGTAAGCTAGTTCTATTTAAAATACTTACGGCTTTAGGTAAATCCCTTTGATCGTACGCTGCATCAGCATCAGGGATAACAATCGTTTTATCAACTTCATTGGAAATCGTCACAGTAGCATTTAAATTACTCAAATCCCTCTTCTCCTCTTTATTCCTTTGACCTTTATTATTTCTACCATTTTCATTATCAGTTTCCAAGTCTAATGTTACATTTTTTTGTGCCTCATTGAATACAGGATCAGCGTCAATTCTTGTGCTTTCTGCCTTTTCTGCTTCAATGGTATGTTGTTCACCAATTCCATTTTCAAGAACACTTTTTTCTGTAATGGTTAAATTTTTCTTGTTCTTGGTTTTAATTGTTATTGGCAATATCGGTGAGCTAGTATTCTGTTCTGGTTGTGAAATTCTCTCTTCTTTTGGTGATATAATCTCTGGTGGCTGTTCAACTTCCTCGGGTTGCTCTTTTTGGTTGTCACTGTAATTAAGTTTGAATTATTGGAATTCAAAACATTATTTTTTGTATATAAAATACTTGTTAAACAAATAGTTTGAGTGAAATTGTAAATACTAAATAACTTTTTGGAGAATTTGGCCTTTAAAGGACGACATGAAGAAACACTTACGAGGATTTTCGACGTCGCCGCGTTCGCTTCGGCCTCTTATCTGCCGGGGACGCTAAAAAAAAGTTTAACATATGTTTAAGTACAAAATTTCTTTAAAAAATATTTGTCTCACTCAATGAGTATTTAAAAGAAATAGAGAAAACTGATAACACAGGCAGGATGGAGGAGAACAGAGTACATACTATCTATGTATATCTAAGCTCTGAATCCTTTTTGCAAGTCTGGCGCAAAGTAACGAAATCGTTTCGTAGATTGCGCCAAATACATTTGTGCCTTTGTTTAATGTTAGCTCTCCCATACGTTATATGTGAAAAATATGAATACTTAAATGATTAACATTCTCACCAATCGTAGTATCCTGGGTGGTTTCAATGGACGCATTGGGTGTGGCCTACGACAGAAATGGAAATTTCATCACACTTAGAATGGTAAAACACTTTTATTGTTTTGGAAAATACATTATTAAATTTGGAAATGTATGAATTTGTGTAAACTCCCGTTTCTCCTCGTGGGGCATGGGGCGAATATATTTATATTTCCGTTTTACTGATCGATTATTATTTACAGGCAAATAGTTCATCAGACTTTTGTGCCCAGCCCGACCGAAACAATCTATTGTTTTTCCGGGATTCGAACGCTGGACCTCTCGCGCTTTGAACACAGAAAAAAGGCCTAACCTAAGTAAAGCAATTGTTTAAATTAGTTCACATAGTTTCATAAATACTTACTTTTTTAGCTCTGGTTCGTTTTGGCCTTGTTTCAGGAATAACAGGCTCTTCGTTTTCCAATTGTTTGGTTGTCCGAGAACTTGATCTGGTGGTTCTTTGTACTGAAATCAAATTTAATTAAAAATCACTAAAACAGTTTTTTTGGTGGGTCAAGGATTGTTTATGACAATAGAACATGCAAACATAAGACTTCATGGAAACACGGTGGAAAACAAAATCCCCCATTTAACATTTGGTTCAGGATATTTAGAAATTGAAATTGAAACTGAACCATAGACATATAACCGAAGATTAACTACTTTTTATTTTATAACGTCTAACCAAAGGATTTATTTTTTTGCAATTACCTGGTACAATTTCGCTTTGCTTCTTGGAACGAGCACCCATCTGTGACTCTTCATCACTCTTATCCTCAGTCTGCTTTTTAGCGCCTTTACGTGTTTCTATTGCAAAGTTAGTTTTTATCTAATAACTTATTTATGTGAAATATCAACTAATACTATTTGCTATATTTTCTGTCAAAGATAATAAATACAGAAAACTTACTCCGTACTGGTGCAGGAGGAGGTGGCATTGCCAATCCATCCCTATTTGGTTCCTGTTTAACATCAATATTCAATGGTAAAGATACTGTTTCCATTTTTTCCGGCTCAGGAGGAAGCGATATCTTCTCTTGCTTGACTGAAATTTATGTAATTTTCTTTATAATAGAAATATAAATAACATAATAAAAATAGAGAGGCGTGGTATTTTAAGAGAAATAAAGCTAAACAAACAGTTACTAACTCCGCACAGCAGGTATTTGTTGAGTATTCTCTTTATCATCATCATTGTCCTGACGGTTTCTTGCCTTTTCAATGGAATTCTCACGGCGAAGTTTCTGGGTCAAGTTTACATTCACCTACCAAAATAAAATTTTAGTAGAAATGTAAATTCTCTAAAGTAGCTTGGGGTTTATTAGAAAGATAACTACTAAGTCTGATGGATTTTTATACAATGGGACATTTTTAAAGGCACTGTAACTTTGTATATAGAATAGATACTGTAGGCACTTTGCAAAAAAGGCTGCATACAGCAGGGATTCATGAAATTGATAAATAATTTAAATCGTCTTTGAGCTGTGACTGAGTTAATCACTTTTTTTAAAATATGTAAATATTTACACATTTGACTAAATACCAAGTTAGTAGCTTAACACCCTAGGCCAATTACTATTTGCACTATTGTTAAAAATTATTGTTTCTTAAAAAGTTATACCAATTCCAACAACACAATTAAATGTTGTGCCTGTTTAACCAGAAATTACCAGAACTACTTAACCAATTTTTTGCCATGTATATAAGGATTAGATGATATAATAATGATTAACAATAAATAATATGTTTAGAATGTGTTAAAATTAATAATTATATACATTTTATTAAAATGATTGTATTTTTTAATTACGGGTTTAATGAATCTGCTACTAACTCATTAAAAGTAAGTAAAACCACCAAATGGCACAATCCTTAACAGTGATATAAAAGGGACATGCTAGTGTTAATTGCAGGCTTGGTATCCTGATGTATTAAATTGTTATTTCTAAATAAATATATAGGAATCTAAACTATAGACAGTAATTAGAAACACAAAAAACAAACACTAGTACAATATTTAATACAATTTAATTTGTACCTCTGATTCCACATATATCACACTTTCATCGATTTGGTTCTGAAATATAGTCTTATGCATTAATAAAATGAATTATATGAGTAGAAGATAGACTATATCATAAAAGAATTAAAGTTAAATAGTTTTTGAAAAACAATATAGGAATTTTTAATTGGTTTGACAAAGACTTAGAATATTGATTTCCCACAATTTAATATAGATCTAGATAGCTCTGTGCTCAGACTGACACATGATATATTTAAGGACAACCTAACAAACTGAGCTTCAAAGCTAGAAAGGGAGGACTTAGCATAATAAAAGACAGTGCACAATGGTGACCATAGAAAGCATACTAGTTTATAATGTTTCTTTGGGCCCTCCATTAGATGTTTATATAAATATATAAAACTATGAGTAAAGCCACAATACATCTTAGTTAACAAATATAGGCAAAACTTACCTGTTTACTAATAATACTCTGAGCTTTAACCGATGCGTTCCTCTTTTGACGTTTGTCCTGTTCAGGACTTAGTATACCATCCACTTCATTTTTACTGCGTTTCTTTGAGCCCCGCTTTTCACTACTTCCCTCGGTAGAATTATGTTCATTGCTTGTTTTAGGTTTGTTAGTTTGCTTTTCATCTAAAAGATGCAGAAAAAACAATTATGTTTCCTAATGACTTTCAGGCCGACTATGTTATGAAGAGAGAATAGAGAGCAAATTAAGAGACAATCATGATGCGCTCTATAGTGCTTTTCAGCTTTACCATTTATATTGGTTCTTCAAACTTCCCACTTTTTTACATAAGACGAAGAAGGTGAGTTGTCTTCTATAAAGTTAGTTTATAGGTGAATGTTCAATGCTATAATCCAATATAAGAGCTGGTTACCTTCATCCTCATTGATAATCTGAAGAGTTGTCAACACATTTTTATCTTGAGGCGCCTTTTCACGCGCTTTTGCACCATTTTTAAACTCCTCTTTAAACTTATCCAAGCAGGCACGCGCGGCCTGCAACACATGTAAATACACTGTTTAGCACAACTGAATATTTAAAGAACGGAGGTGGGCTTTGATTTAGTCGGATTATGCCATAAATAAAGCTTTAAATCACAAGTTATAAGCGCGAAATTCATATAAAATGTGTCAAAAGCTAATCACAATTTAGGCTACCTTAAGATCGTCATTAAATGCTTTTATGTATGTTTTTGGTATATCAAGGATTTGTGGTAATATTGTCTCATTAAAAATGGACATAATTGGACGAATTACACTGATTTCATAAAGTTTTATAAAGTTGTCAAACGCTGAAACACTACAATCGAAAACCGTTTGAAATTGAAAATTAAACACCGACTACAAAGACAGGCATAGACCATAGAAGCAACATGGCCGCTATCGAAGCGTTCGTTGAAAGATATTATTTATATTAACAACCTAAAGCAAAAGCCTTTTACAAATCATATTCAGTTTTATTAACTAAGTAATGTATTTTTTTTTAATTCTCTTATGACGCTGTGAAGATATTTATTAAATTTTTTACAACTAGAGATTTTTTATTAGTTACGTTGAAATTAGTTCAATACTCCACAGATGGCACTAATCAACATAAATAATATCTTCAGTTTATCTGGCCGTATAGTCGGGTGCTTACTCAGTTAATAAGAATAGGGACTCAATCAGCCATCCAGACATCCAGACATAGGGAATTAACGTTATTGAGTTAGAAGTACATAGTAAGTAGGGGTTATAATTATCTGAGCTAAAAATATTTTGGTAATTTATTTTTGTTTTCCTTTTTTTATGACGGATGTAATTAAATCTTAAAAATTTCAAATATTAGTTTACTTACAGAAAGTTCTAAGAAATACTAAATCGACATAGTTTGGCTCTCATAGCTTCGAACAAGTTTCAAAGAACTATAGACAAATTTGGTAATGTGAAGTCGCGCCAAAATAAAATGCAATAAAAAACATTTATAAAGCGAAGAATCCGTTCAAGGAAACGCGATGTAGTACGTACAGTCGACAAGACACGAGCTTTCAATTTTTTTAACCAAGCAAGTTTTTGCAATATAATCTTTCTTTCATTATTTTATATTTATAACATAGACTAATATATGAACTCAAAATTATGTATTTATATTATTGTTATGCCAATTATTTTACGACTAACAGTTACTTAGCAGGTAATTGGCCAACAATGACTTGAAATAAAAATTTGACCTAACAACATCTAACAGAGAATTGGAAAAAATAGAAAATACAAATTCGTAAGTAATAATTATCGGAAATACCGCAAACATGAGCTCAGGCCATAACCAAACAACGACTACTATACCACAAATGAAATATTTTTGAAACCGACTTCAGCCATCAAGCGTACTTCGGCGACATAGCGTCGCGTTTCTATCGACCAACGTTCCCCAATGTGTTGCCAAAACCACGCAATCTTTACTCATGCTCATATTTATAAGGCCTCTTTGCATAACTATGAATAATGCAACGAGACAACTTTAGTCTTTGACGGAAGATGGATTTGATTAGTGTTGCGAATGACTCACAGGGATTACTCCACTAGCATTAGACGAAAGTGACGTCAATTCCGTACCGAGTAGTACCCTCATGAAATTTTACAAAATACGGAATATTGAAAACATTATGATTTTTCGCACATGATGGCACTATATCAATTAAAAATCTATACTAATATATAAAGATAAAGAGTTTGTTTGAACGCGCTAATCTCAGGAACTATAGATTCGAATTCAAAACTTATTTGGTGTTAGTTAGAGCATTTACTGAGGAAGGCTATAAAATATCACTATATTTTATAGCCATTATTAGCCATATTAGACATGTTTTCGCTCCTATAAGTCACATCACTATGTGACTTATAGGAGCGAAAACATGTCTAAAAGAATTATTTCTCTTTAAATGATCTAAAAAAAGTCCGCAACATTATGTATCTATCTTTTAAGATTAACTTGCAAGAACTACGGGACGCGGACGAAGTCGTGGGTCAAATTTATAGAGTTGAACAGGGAGTGTGCAAAAACGAAAATTGATATCCAAAATAATTATTCTACGCGTACGAAGTCGCGTGACTCAGCTAGTAGATAATAAATTGAAAAAATTACGACCCGGGCAGGATTTAAACCGTCATTGTTAGCGTTCCATGTTGTTGCTCTAACCGAGTTTTAGTATACATAATATGTCCATCTGTAGTCCTCGAATCAAGGAATTTACCTAATTCCATTAAGCCTAAGTATACTGCTAAAATCATAAAATTTCTAGAAAACAAACAAGTCACCTTACATTTTTATACCAACATAGTTAATACCAATAAAAATTAAAGAGTATTATCATAATGCAAATATTTATATATTCTTCAGGCACACTTATGACATACAGTCTTAGTATAATCGTAGTTCTGTTTAACTTTCAGCGTGTATTTAAATATAATATATATATATTATAAATGACATTTCTAACATCATGAAAGCTGTATATCGCTTTAGGGTGCACATGTCTAGTTTCGTCACTAAGTAATATAATAAATGAGTTTATCTTATGAGACTAGATCGAAACAATGTATGACATAATAGCAATTAGAACGACGCAATAAACAATGTAGTTATCCCGCAATACGTATGCAATTTGCGATTAAAATTTTATCGCCGCATAAATAAACGTGCTTCCACGAAATGGCGCACGTTCGTGAAATTAATTGCTCGGATCAAAGTGATAGTTATTTACTTAGAATTCGGTGAGCATCGTAATTTACATAATATAAGAGGCACAACCCGAATCTCCGGCATACTCTTACTGCGCCACGCCAAATAGAATTTTTGGCGAGATCTATACGGAGCGGATACTTTTAATTCCCATAATATATAACACGCGTTCTTGTAAATCGTGCGCGTCTTTTACATAAGTAAACATCTTCCTAGCCCAGTTATATAACGCTTTGCATGTTAGGTATAAGGGTACAAGTACATATTAATTTTGTAATAGAATGTGAAATGAAAGCAGTCTTATTTTTTTTGTAACTACACGTTTAAGTATTGAATGTAGTTTACGCGAATAGTGCCCATTTAAATAAAACATTTTCAACAGTTTAAAATGCGAAATATATAAGTGTACTAACCGGGATGCAATTAAAAATAAATTAATTGACGTAAGTCGTGTTTTAATGCTATAAAAGTGTTTTATTTAAATAACTGCACGTTTGTTGGCTTAGCCTTACCGGACGTTATGTCGTTATTGAGGCTAGATTAGTGTTATTTTTACACTTTTAGCTAAGTAAATAATATAGTTTAATGTTACGATGTAGTGTCGAAAGTAGTGTCAGCTATAAGTGCGCCATCCCGTTCTACTATGCCTTGCCAATACACATTTTGGTGAGGCCCAAGTCTTAGTTGTACTGTCAAAGGGCCGCTGACGTAACATTTAATGACCGAAAACGCAACAGCTCTATACAATTGGTCGAAGGCTGCCGAGCTACAGTCGCAATGCACTGCACCATTAGATTTACAGCCAGCCGACTCAGCCGAAGCCCTACACACTGTGATATACAGCCTTTCGCCTTGTTTACATCTAAATAAGACATGTATCTTATTTTCCATTTCAAAGTGCGTCTGCACGGAACGGAAGACGGAATTCTACCGGTTATTATTATTAGCACGACACCTTAATAAGTAATTGCGCTTATGGTCATATAGATATGTGACTATTTATTCCCTGATTATGTGTGGATGCGTATGGATGAGGCGTTTACCGCAAAATGTGGATCTGACATTAACAACCTTTGACTAATATAAATAAACTGTAAACAAAACGTAAAATATGTTAGGTTAGTTAAATAAAAAGCCTTTTACTTGTATATTTATATTATAATTTTCAGGTTATAACATTTATCAAGGAATGTTTTAGGCTATATAACATCACACTTGAAAGAAACGGTGGGAAATGTGAAACAAACACAGAAAATTCCAAGAACGACGTCGTAACAATAAAGATGAGGAAGTTAGCAAAAACAAATTAGATGCCGATAATAACGATTAGGTACAAAAAGACTTAGCTACTAGTTAATATTTGTTTGAACTTAGAAACTGACTATATATAATATCTACGATAATATTTATACATTCACGAGAGATGAAAAAAGTTTCCTCGCGCGAAGTCGGCGGCGTCCACTAGTAATGATATAAAGTTCATCTGCTGGAACTATAAAGCCGTTCATAGTGAAACGCCGCGTGTCTCCATCTAGATATATTTTTGTAGCCGGACTATAAAAGTGTCATCCATAAAATATAAAAATATCGACGCTGTGTACTCGATTTCGAAGCTTATTCACTTTTACAGTGTTTTGGTTTAATATTTTTATTAGTTAGCATTGGCACATGTATGGCTATGTACCGATTTAGCACAATTAGATTTCTATCAGTTTAAGTTAGTTTTTTTATTTTATCATTCCTTTTTTTCGTTTTTTTATTTGTTTGAACGCGCTAATCTCAGGTACTACTCCTGGTTCGAATTGAATAATAATTATTTTTTGTTATACTTAGCGAGGAAGGCTTTATAAAATATCAGGGTGCAACTAAAAGGAAGTAAGAAACAGGGAGAATTGGTAAAAAAAACGGAACATTTTTGAAGGAATCCGCTGCGTGCGTTGCGAAAACGTTTCAAGAAACCAAAAAATGTGGACGAATGAATAAGTTCTTCTTTAAATGTTCGCGTCAGTATATCTATTAAAATTCTCAGAACTAGCAAGTACGACGGGACACGGGCGACGTCGTAGGTAACTACCATAATTTAAATAAAATACAGAATATGATGCTCAAATTGACTATTGCGCGCGGACGAAGTCGTGGGGGCTGCTAGTTTTATTTATATGAATGGTAAAAAGTTACAAAATCATTTATTGGATTTGGATATTAAATTTCAGATATTCAGCTACATCAAACTCCGATTCATCGACCAATAATGAGTAAAATGAACTTGCAGCCGACTCCAGGACAGGACTCAAATGCAGGTCTCGAACCAGACACGTCCGGGCCGAATAAATTACCGCCGGATTCGCCTTTTGTAAATTGAAAAGCCGTGTTAGCCGACCTAGGACATTCCGTTAGCCCAATTCACTTGTCCTATATACACAAACGCGCTTATAAAGTGGGTCGTACCCTAAAAATTTACGTACAAGGTTTCTCCCAAATAATTTGTCATTAATATGTGCTGCTTACTCGTAGTAGTGAG